GCTTCAATAAAAACGAAATGAGGTTAAAGAAATGAAATAAAATGTTAATGCAGTTCCCAAGTTGGGAATCCCAACCATAAAATGGAACTTTAAATCTTTACAGCACAACATTAAGAAACTTTATTTATATTTCCTATTTAAACAAAATTAAATTTAAAGCTGAGTACACAGATATGTAGTAAATATAGTGTATGTAAATTGTCTTCTACATAAAATACCATATTAAAACAACTATTGAAAAATATTAATCAAAATATAAAAATAGAGATATTAAGCATGAGAGTCGCAACTCCAAAAACAATTTATCCTCTTTTTAAGAAGGAGTTCACCAAGAAATACTACTAAAGATGTACTATAGCCCAGGATAAGTAAATACCACAGCCACTTAAACTGTTCGATGGAAAGAGCATTTGCCTGTCCGTTGTTATTGGGAATAAATGTTTGATTTGCATTCTTCTCAAGAATTTTTGGAATCTTTCCAAGCCAGTAATTGGTAATCCCAGACTCCTGCATCAATATAATGAATCTGCTCAGTGGACTCTGGTATATTGAATTATTTCCCAGAATTTGCATTCTGGGCAAGTTTTCAGCGATGGTTAGCTCCTTGGAGGTGCAGTAAGCTCGCACTCCTTTGGATCGTTGAAAGTCATCCAAGACATGCCAATTGTCGGAAAACATGACAAGTGCGTATCTGCCACTACACGAAAATATTAGCTTTATTCTTTCCAAAAAGGGCACCATTTTTGTTCTTGGCATCAATCGCATATTGATTTCAGTACTGAGCTCCGTCTTAATAAAATTGTTTGTCACGTCATCGATGAGTACAACCAGTCCACTTTCCTGCAACTCGGCAAAGTTTGTCACCTGAGGACGGAGATGCGGCGTTGTGAGCATTGAACTCAGCTTGCAGTTTATAAAGTTGCTAAAAACCATTCCGAAAATCACAATGGCCAAAAAGAGTTGGCGTATCGAAGGGCTTGACCTTTGGGGTTCCGGAAATGACAGGCCCAAAATGGCTCTAAAAGCGTAAAGGTTGGCGGTCGTTCGGCGGTATCTTGTTTCAGAGATCCGGAAGGTTAACTTAAGAATAAAAATCTCTATCAACACGAATATTACATAGACTGCACTAATGTACAAAAACCATTTTTGGACTCCAGATTGCTTGAGAACATCCTGGAAACTCATGTAAGTGCCACAGGGAACCGCAACCAGCAGCGTCGATGCGCAGAATGGGTTCACGTAGCCCGTTAGCTTGGAAGAGTCATTTTTGGTCATAAAGTCATTTTGGTCAAAGATACCTCCATTTGACCCGTTTTCCTTCACGAGCTGTAGAGTGAGGTTGTACCTGTTGGCAAACTCGATGATTTCCCAGTCATCGATTCGGTAAACGGGATGTATATTCTCGTGCTTTCCTCCCAGTTTTATTTGTGAGCTATAATCGTGCGTCACAATAGCGGTCTTTCCTTGGAAATTTATTTCTAGGTCCTGGTAAAAAGAACTATTAAGTGCCCAAATATTTTCGAATCGATCAAAATGGGCACTAGGAAACGGATTTAGACGATGACATAATAGTGCTGCATTTGGGTTATCTTTTAGCACAATAAGATTTAAAAAATGTAAGTCCTTGGATTTGTTTGAGATCTGTTCGAGAAACTCCACCGTGGGTGTTACTTTCGTCCACAATATTATTCTCTGTTGTCGCATGTTCTCAAAAGCATCTGCCACGTTATTTAGCAGATTAATGTGGGAACTTTCCCCAATGCAAATAATGGCCAACGCACGGCTATTGTAATTATCCTTTATCCTGACCATTTTGAGATCATCAGTCCGTATGACGGCTATTCCATGCGGATTCCAGTGCTGAAGGCTGCAATTGTTGTTTAGATGGTGCTTGAGAATCAATATCGTTTCCATGCTATGCTCTTTAATCAGATGGTGAACTATTCTGCTTAGATTTCTAAGCTGTGGAAATTCGGATCCTTGAAAAAGAGCTGGACTCAGTAGAAGTATTAATACGAATTTCATTATGGATGTCATTGCACTTGTAACTCATGTAGGTTTTGGTTCTTAACGAAGTTTAGACTGAACTAAAGTACAACTATTTTGAAAGCACTTAACTTATGTCAACATAAGTCGCTACTTACTAATAGATCTTAGATAACAACTGTCAGTTATTCTCTGAATACATTTAATAGTAATTGTTTCTTTCCCTTCTAATTGCAAGCCATAATAAAATACCTTAATGGACGCTTTTTCAACATGGCACTCTACGGAAAAAAAAATCTACAAATTAACCACATTTTATGAATTTTATAAGTTTTATTTATTATGACACGTCTTTTAAAATTAAATGTGATTACATTTTTTTATAACTTAGCAAAAAGTTGGATATAAACGGCCTGCCTAAAAACGTTTCGAAAAAACTTTCCATTTATTAAAAAAGTTTTGAGCACATAATTAAATATAATTTTTAATACTTCCCTACCAGAGTAACGAGTGTTTAATAGTCGAGGCATTCGACTAAAACGTTCTTTTGTTTTAAAATGTGTTTTCGAAATAAAATTCAGGTTAAATAATCACAAATTAATATTCTTTATTTAGTTTAAATTAATAACATTATTTTATAGGTTTGGTTAACTTATGTATATTTTTGTGTGTATTTTAGACAGATTGTCCTCTAAACCAAATCTTGTTTTCCGATGGGCCTTCTCATTATATTCTTCCAGAATTTATTTCTCTTGCTAAGAAATATCTCGACGATGAAAACCACTGTGGCAATACTGTGCCCAATGATCACCAAATGCCACAACCAGCTCAAGTGTTGAATAGATAGGGGAACTGTGCCGGCCTTAAACCCTGGAACAATGCTCATATTGTATACATTTTTTTGAAACATGGGAACAAAGTGTGTTATCCAAAGCTTAGGGATCCCAGATTCGTGAATATAAATCATAAACCGCGACAGCATCCATTTAAATATGGAATTGCTCTCCAGAACGTACATCCTGGGAAGATTCCAGACTATGGTCAAATTTTCTGAGGCACAAAAGACCCTTTTTCCGATAGATCGCTGAAAGGAATCTAAGGCAGGCCATAAATTTGAGACCACTGTAAAAGCAAAAGTGTCGTTTAAATTTGCAACCATTTTGTTTCGATCCAGACGATCCATAATAACAACATTCGGTAAAACTTCGTGAAAGAACTCTGGATCAATCTCACTCTCTACAAAGGAGTGGGTGTACTTATCCGTAATTGTTATCAATCCGCTAGCTCGCAACTCCTCAAAGTTCCTAACTTGGGCATTCTGGGCTGGTTTCGTGAGCAGAGCACTTAGCTTGCAGCTGATAAAATTGCTGAAGATAAAGCCAAAAATGCTAATGGCCAGAAAAAGTTGACGCAGCGAAATGCTTGACCTGCGAAACTCCGGGAACGGCAGACCTAAAATAGCCCGAAATGCTCGGGAATTCAAAAAAGGATTTAGGCTGGTCAGGCGGCGTGAATCGCCGGATATCCTGTGTATTAACCAAAGTATGATGGTTTCCACAAAAACGTATGCCACATAGACAGTCAGAAGGCACATTAGCAATTTCTGTAAGCCCAATTTCTGGAGAATATCCACAAAACGCCACTTCTGACTGCACGGCACTATGACCATTAATGAAGTGGCCGTGGAGGGATTTATAAAGTCCATCTGGGTGGGAAAGTTTTGGGTTATAAAACGTTGACCTAACTGAATATCAAAGTGATCTGCCTCGGTATCATTCCTGTCACTCAATCTTAAGGTTAAGTTATACTTGTTGGCAAACTCAATAATTTCCAAGTCCTCGATATGAGAAATGGGAATGTGGCCAGTTGTGGTCCTTACATTATAACGTATATTCGAGTCCGTACTTTCTCTCAGGACAGCAGTCCTTCCTTGATAATTGAACCCAGGTTGATGAAAAACCGGGCTATTGGTGTTCAATATATTTTTGATTTGAACAAATTGCGGAGTGGGAAACGGAATCATCCGGTAAAATAATATTCTCCCTTCGGGATTATCAGCCATCGCCACCATTATTACTTGAATAAATTTAAACTTTAAGGACAGCTGGGCAATAAGTTCTAGGAACTCCTTCTTGGGTTCTCTTCGGCTCCAAAGTATTATTCTCTCCTGCCTCATGGTGTCCAGGGTGTGTGCTACGATTTTCAGGAGATAAGAGTCGGATTCAGGGTCCATGCAAACGAGGACAACTGTCTGGTCATTGCAAAATCCACGAACTTTGATGGAACCCAACTCATTGGCCCTTAGGATTGAAACTCCAGGTGGATTCCAGTGTTGAAGAGAGCAGTTTTTGTTCTGGCTATGCTTGATTATAATAATGGTTTGGACATCTCTTTCTTCTTTGATAATATCGATGAGATTTCCAAGGAATCTCAACTATGGATAGTGAGTTCCTCTAGTCACCGATAAACATATAAGAAGTATAACCAATAAAATAGTAACTTGGGTCATTTTTAATCAGCCTAAGGTTAGTTTAATATCGTCAGAAAGTTGGAACTATACTGACTGTTGCTACAGCACTTTGCAAATGTTTATCCCTAAACCAATCAAAAGCTTTGCTGTCACCTACGTCAACTGTCAAATGTCCAAAGCAATTAATTTAATTGCAATTTTTAAATGCTAATGAAATAATACCTATTACTAAAAACATAATTATTGTAGATTCTGCAACATTTCAAACATTAATCGAAATTGCTATAAAAATGAATTATTTTCTGTCAGTTTTTCTGTGGATATATTTAATAACAATGTTCTTCCACTTTTCTAAGTGCCAGCAAAATGCCTCTATGGCCGCTTACTCAATATGGCAATTATGATTTAAAGAAAACAAAGTTCAGGTTAAATAACCACAAATTAATATGCTTTATTTATTTTAATAATATTAAAAGTTGTTATTGTGTTGACTTGATTAACTTATGAATTTAATTTCTTGTGTTTATTGTTGACAGATTGGTTTCTAAACCAAATCATGTTCCCCGCTGGACCTTGTTCTTAAAATCTTCATGAATTTATTTCTCTTGCTAAGAAATATCTCGACGATGAAAACCACTGTGGCAATACTGTGCCCAAGGACCAACAAATGCCACAGCCAGCTTAGATGTTCAATGGATAGGGGAACTGCACCAGGTTTAAACCTTGAAAGCATGGTCATATTGTAATTCTTTTTTATCCAATGCATAGGAATACCAGATTCGTCAAGATAAATCATAAATCGTGTCAGCATCCATTTGAAAATGGAATTGTTCTCCAGAGAATACATCCTTGGAATATTCCAAGCGATTGTCAAGTTATCTGAGGCGCAAAAGACTCTTTCTCCGTAAGATCGCTGAAAAAAATCCAAAGAAGGCCATAAAGTTGAGAGCATTGTAAAGCTAAAACTATCGTTCAAAGAGGTCACCATTTTGTTTCGTTCAGGATTCTCCATAATATAAAAATTCGGTAGAACTTTGTGAAAGAACTCTGGATCAATCTCACTCTCCACAAAGGAGTGGGTGTACTTATCCGTAACTGTTATCAATCCGCTAGCCCGCAACTCTTCAAAATTTCTAGCTAGGGCATTTTGTGCTGGCTTCGTCAACATAGCACTTAGTTTGCAGCTAATAAAATTGCTGCAGATAAAGCAGAGACCGTAAATAATCATTATTTGAGATTTTTATTTTAAAACAAGAGAGAACGCTATAGTCGGGTTCGTGTCCCGACTATCTAATACCCGTCACTCAGCTAAAGGAAGTGCGAACGCTGTGTCGGGTTGGTGTCCCGACTAATAATCGTAACTCAGCTAAAGGGAGTGCGAGGGAGATAGATATATGTTGACAATTTATAAAGCGTATAACTTTTTAATGAATGGTCCGATTTGAAAAATGTCTTCTACATTTCGATAGGTATAAATATACACAACAAAATTGCATTTATACTTCTCGGAAATCTTTAAAGATGTGGGCGCAGGACCCATTTTAAAATCGTTAGTGGGCGATTGTGGGCGTTAGAGGGGGCGTGGCGCTCGGCTAAAATAAACTTGCGCTGCGTAGGAAGCCAAAGAATATGTGTGGGAAATCTCAACCTTCTAGCTTTTGTAGTTTCTGAGATCTCAGCGTTCATACAGACAGACAGACGGACAGACGGACAGACGGACAGACGGACAGACGGACAGACGGACAGACGGACATGGCTAGATCGACTCGGCTAGTGACCCTGATCAAGAATATATATACTTTATGGGGTCGGAAACGCTTCCTTCTAGCTGTTACATACTTTTGCACGAATCTAGTATACCCTTTTACTCTACGAGTAACGGGTATAAAGACTACTGTGATATTTTCTTTTAAACGTAAAAAAAACGTTCTTTTTACTCTTGTCCACAAAGTATATGCATTTCAACAAATCTTTAAAGCAAATTAACTGTTATTTCTTCATGTCTATAAAGTGCATAAAAACAAGTTAAATTGTTGATTAAAACTTGTAAAAACCTCAGTAGGCCATTTAAAATAAAAATCTCAAATAATGATTATTTACGGTCCCTGAGATAAAGCCAAAAATGCTTATGGACAGAGAAAGTTGTCGAAGCGAAAGGCTTGATCTGCGAGGCTCAGGAAAGGGTAGACCTAAAATGGCCCGAACGGCTCGAGTATTCAATAAGGGGTTTAGGCTGGTCAGGCGTCGTGAATCCCCGGACATCCGATGGTTTAACCAAAGTATGAAGGTTTCCACAAAAACGAAGGCAACGTAGACTATGAGAAGGCACAACAGCAATTTAAGAACACCCAATTTTTTAAGCACATCTACAAAACGCCACTCTTGACTACAGGGTACTATAACCATTAACGAACTGGCTGTGGAGGGGTTTATAAAGTCCATTTGAGTGGGAAAGTTTCGGGTTATAAACCGTTGACCTAACTGAATATCAAAATGGGTTGCCTTTGTGTCATTCTTGTCAAACAATCTCAAGGTCAAGTTATACTTCTTGCCGAACTCAATGATTTCCAAATCTTCGATATGAGATATGGGAATACTGCCAGTTGTGGTCTTTAAATTATAACGTATATTCGAGTTTGTACTTTCCTTCAAAATAGCCGTCCTAGTTTGATAATTAAATCCAGGATCATAAAATACTGGGGACTTGATCCTTGATAAATTTTTGATGTGAACAAATTGTGGAGTGGGAAACGGATTCATCCGGTAGAATGATAGTTTTTCTTCCGGATTATCAGCAATCGCCACTATTATTATCTGTGTAAATTAAACTTTAAGGATAGCTGGGCAATGTGTTCCAGAAATGCCCTTTTGGGTTCTCTTCGGCTCCAAAGTATGATTCTCTCCTGCCTCGTGGTGTCCAACACGTCTGCCACGATTTTAAGAAGATCTGAATCGGATTCGGGGTCCATACAAACGAGGGTCCGTCTGGTCATTGCAGTATCCCCGAACTTTGATGGAGGCCAACTCATTGGCCCTAAGGATGGTAGTTCCAGGTGGATTCCAGTGTTGAAGAGAGCAGTTTTTGTTCTGGCTATTCTTGATTATTATCATGGTTTCAATCGGTCTGTGTTCTTTCAGGATATTAATAAGCTTTCCAAGGAATCTCAACTGTGGATAGTCAGTTCCTTTAGTCAGCGATAGATATATAAGTAGTATAACCAATATTTTTGTAACTTTCGCCATTTTTAATAAGGTTTAAGGTTGGTTGTAATATCCTAAAGGAGTTGGAACTAACTGACTGTTGCTCGAAGCACTTTTAAAGTGTTTCTCCCTAAACCAATCATAATCTTTGCTGTCACCTATGCTAACACCTGTCAAAAGTTGTGCAAACTAAACTAAGCAATTAATTTAATTGCAATTTATAGATTATCATGCAAAAATAGATATTACTGAATTGTACGTCCTGCAAAATTTAACAAAAATCAAAATTGCTAAAAAAAAAGGTTATATTTTCTGGACTGTTCTCCGCGAACTAATTATTGACTTAATTTGAATTATTGATTAGGCATCGAAATAGCTTTTTGTTGTAAAAATAAATAATCAAACTCAAGTAATGAAAATAATCAAATCAGTAAGCAATAAATTCGAAAAATCCACATCAAGATATTATTACCCTTCTCCAGCTGCTGATCCGGAACATATTTGCTCTGGGAATGTTTTTCCACATTTATGGGTCAGCTGTGCTCCATTTGTTTGTGCAACAATTGAGATCTGTTTCGGTTAACCGTTTCCATTTGGCCACTGATCGACGTCGAGTGGACCGGCAGCAGCAGCGTTTAAATCTATCGATAGCGTCGGCCGAGCGACAATTTTTCTCGGCAGCAGCACTTTTCCTCGGCCAAAATGATCAGCGGCCTGTGCAGTCGTGTACCGTTTGCTGAGCCGTTTGGAACGCGAGCGCCGTGAGCGCCATTGTGAAAAGTGAAAAATGGATTTTCCGGCCTGGGCAGTCGATGCGCTTGGGACGCCCGAGCATGTGCCGTTGCCTGTTAGCGATTAACAAGTGTTTTCCCCAGTTTTCCCCCAACCACTGGCCGCCTACTCCGAGCATCTTGAAGGCGTGGGCCAAGCGGAAATGAGAAAATTTAATTTTAACAAATATTAATTGTCATTCGGTGTCAAATCAAATTGAAATACGTGTGTGTGTTTTTGTGTAATTGCGTAAATAATCTTTAAAAAATATTACTGTACGTTTATATGCGTGAACAGCCTACACAAAGTACGGTTGAAATAGTGTAAATAATCCTCAACAAAATTCCCTCAAGTTCTTCAAGTAAGTTCAAGCTTAATAAAGTGTCTAATAATATTCATAAACCTTATTATACGTTTTCCAAGCATTAAAGTTTAAACAAGAAATAAACATATATCAAAAAAGAAAAGTAGCCATAGAAATAATGTTTATTTTTATTGTCGAGAAATAACAAGTATAATAAGAAACAAATCTAAAAAGTACAAAAATCGTAGAGGTATTATTTGTTTTTTTGTAAATCAAAGTTCTCCTTTCTCATAAGTTATTGCTTGATAAAAATGTAACCCGAAAAGGTGTATTTAAGAAAATATTCATTAAATATGCCATGAAAGCGTTTAATGAGCCATCACTGTAAATACTTATTACATATTTGTTATTGTTTTGGCTTCTGCTAAGATACACACGATTAACTCGCTCAACACCTCAAGGCGGGGCTGTCGCAATCAATTTTTGTCGCCTGTCGCATGCATTAATAGTTTCACTAATTTTGAAATTTATTAGCCCCCCTCGCCGGGCCTTACATATCTGTTTTATGTGTAGTAAACCGTTTTTATCACCTCCACGGGCAGTGGGATGGAAAAGTCGACCGGTTCAGAGAGCACACACAGAAGGTGTGTGGAAAATCTTTAGCAGCTAAGCAGACAGACAGGCAGAAAATCTAGAAAATCCGTAAAAGCTAGGAAAAATATTAACCCGTCCCTGGGCGACGGCAACTCTGCGGCCGGAATGTTTTGGATCCGCTGCTTGATCTGGCATCAGTCAATGTCAGTTGGCCCAGTGCCAGGTCGACTGTGTGGGCGGCGACAAACAAACAATCGACTGCCTAGAGAAAAGTAAATAAATGTTGAGTTAAGGGAAAGTGCTCGAAAGTATTGCACCTAGTGGGAAAGCCTGTGTAGAGGAATATCTCTATGATCTAACCGCAGATGAAAGTGAGAGTACATAAATACCTCCCTTCATTTTTCCGCCCGTGATTATGAGCGTGTCATCCCCCACTACCCTAAAATAAGTTTCAAGTGGATTTCTGTCTCCACGCGTCAAGTATCAAGTGTTTTGTTACGAACCATATTTATATTGTTAGCGAACAACAGTGCGTTTCACACAGAACCTGTCATTTAATTCAAATGACCTTGGAAAATAATATTAACATTACAAATTGAAAATTATATTCTTATAATTTATTGTTAAAAGAGTTAAAATATCTGAATAAATCTGATCATGTTAAAATGTAATAAATATTTTTGTCATAATATAAAATACAGAATAATATAGTTCTGAAACGCACTGTACATATTTGAACGTGTTAATATGTATGGCCATATATTCTCGCTCGATTGCTAACATATGTTCAAATGACGACAAAAGCATGCCAAATATTCATGGCATATTTTTTGTTTTGTGGCATTTTTTTGTCATATTATTTTAATTTCTATTAATTTTTTGCCGCCTCCATCGCCGACGCTCGCCAAAAGAATAAATATTTTAACACATTTTCTATAAGGAATTCTTTAATGGATTTTATTGACTGAGTTTTTGGGCCTTTAGGCCGAGGCATTGGCATTGGCCAAGTGCAAAATTTATTATACATTTATCATTTAAGTATCATTTTTTGCGCCTTTTATTTTTGTGCGTCTGTTTTACTTCACATTGAGAATGTTTATGATTTTTTCCTTTGGATTTCTGAACTTGTGCAACAATTGGCAAGATATAAAATGTAAATTCAACAATGATACAAAGTCTGTGCCATCTGGTTGAAGGCTGTAAACTTGAACGACTTACGAAGTGGGTCAGTGTTTTTTCTAACAAAATCTAAGGGAAATAATTACATTTATTTATTTCATTTGTCTATTGATTTGGATCTTCCATATAGGAATTTCCATTTCATTGCCATAATACTCGACTGCATCATTTCCGTTTTTGAATTTCGTGCCAAAAGTAAGAGCGTCATGCACTTGACCAGACCAGAACCCCAAGATCTTCCGAAATGCCCATTCCACCACCTTTTTTCCGTTTTATATATGGTGATCATTTAGAGGCGCTTGGTTTTTATCTATTTAAAAAATTCGGGAATATGTGCAAATTGCGCAGCTGTCTACGCGTGAATCCCAAAATGCAAATTGTTCTCCGAATCATAAATTTTAATTTTGGTGTTCCTGGAATTATTCGAAATCTTTTTTTACTCAAAAATTTAAATTTGCTTTTTTATTATTTCAAACTCAATGTTTGGATAAACATTTTCACTTTTTATATATTTAAGGATTGGTATTTCATTAAGCCATTTTTATGTACATATATCTCAATAATTAAAGTGATAAAAATGTTTAAATAAAAATTGCACAGGCCATTTAATTAATTTGTATATCTAAGCCGATTTATCTGTGTAAATCTTCCGGATCATCAATTACACTCATCTGGCGCCCGATTTCACCTCTCTTATGGTGACGTAAATGAGAGCCCTACGAGAATAGATATTTTTAGCTATATTCCGTCGATTCGGCTGCTTGGAAAATCTGCGAGTCTGTGTTTTATTTTATTGCTGCCTATAATTGGTTCGTTTATGTGCAAAATGTAAGAGAGCAGCCTGAACTTGAAATAGAAGCATGGAAAAAGAGAATAGAGGGGAGTTTCTGGGCATGGAGGAAGTTTCACCAGGATTATGATGTTGGTTTATTTTTGGCCTGTTCGCTGCAGTTTGAACTTTGGTTTGAGCGGAAAGACTAATGACTAAGGAGTGGCGCTGACTCAAGTGTAGATCTTTGAAGGGCACTGAAAAAAATATAGGAACGGCAGTGGAGCCTATTTGAAGGTTGTTTGAGTAAGTAAATACCATTATTTTTGGGGCATACTTTTAGGAGTTCGGCTAAAAAAAATTCATCAAAATAATATTTTTTTAAATTACAATTTATAAGTATTTAAAAAAATATCAGATTAATAAAACAACCTCGGTAGGACATAAAAAAAGGTGAAAGTCTGGGCAGAAAATTATATTCCCCAAAAACGTGATATTCTCCAAGTGAAGCAGCCAATGTCAATGAATAATTTTCCCTTTCCGTTTGGGATTATTCAAATGCCTTCACAGCTGTCGAATACCTCAATTCTGAGCTCTGGCTTTCAACAATGTACATTCTACAATTAGCAAATTGTTGTTGCTCATCGGATGACACATAATGACGCATTGCTTTGGCCCACAACAATACCAGTGGGTCGCCTGGCCAACTGGCTCCCGCTTTCTATCCATCAATTAATATTCATAAGCAATTATCAGGCTTACCATAAACATTGTATTTAGTTTTGACTGCCTGTGCGAGTATGTGTGCTTCTGTAAGATAATTAAAACAAATTATGCCATGTGCCTTTTTTTTGCTATGAGTGCACATAAAACAATTATCTTTACTGAAACTATTTAAAAGCAGATTTAAACAAAAACATTTTGAAATTGAGATTTATATAGGAAACTGTGACTAATCATTTTTTGAGTCTTGAAAAGAATTAAAACTGAATATTGTCAGTTAATAAATTGTTGTAAATTTTATATTATTTTAATTTGAAAAAGCATATTCAACGAGATCCTTTTAATAATAATTTATAAATAATAATAGTTTATTACTCATGAAAAGTCTAGAAAATTGTATAAAATTCTTCTAATTTTTTGCAAGTGCATTCTCAGGCCACCTAGTACTCACATACGCCCCGCTATAGTTACTCATAATTGTCCAGCATTATTGTCATCATCATGATGGTCTCGGTTGATCATCATGATGGCGATCATTATGGCGACAGTAGTCGCATCGCATGGAGTGCCAACTGCCGACTGAGCGACAGTCGCAGTTTATCCGCCGACCAAGTCGAATCTGAAAATCCGCCAAAAAGTGCTGAGCGCGTGCGGGTAAACTAATTAACGCCAATTAATCCGCGCAGCCCAACCCACTAGTCACCGAAACTAATGTAAAATTGTAAAATATTTTCAACAGGTTGAAAGCATTTAAAACAACAACAACAAGAAAATTCGAAATAATTGCAACAAAATAACGATTTGTTTATTAAACGAAAAGCACACACAACGAAACCAGAAGAAAAACGAAGGGGAATAAATGGATTTAGAAATAGATGAAAATTAAAATAAGAAGCTAAGACAACGGAAAATCCTTAAGAGAAAGAGCGAATATGTTTAATTTGCTGCGGAGATCGCGTCGTGGAAAAACGCACAAGAACGTTGTCGTCGATGAGGAGGAAGATGGGGACAGACCCGTGAGATACAGTAAAATAGGGGAGATTGCTCTTCGGCGCGAAGAGCCCAAGGAAAGAGCACGACGGGCGGTGATCGAAGAGCTGGAGGACTTTGCCAGCGACTTTGACGACGAGGCAGGGGAAACTGCCAGCGGCGACGAAGAGCGTTTAAAATTAGCAAAAACAGCTGCTAATGGCCGCTCCGACAATTTGTATATAAATAAAATGGGCGGAGCGGCGAGGACGTGGACGTTTTCCTCGGGCGGTGATCGAAATGCGGCTCCCAGCAGTCAAAACGAGGCAGCCAGCGCGATCGCGAGCAAAAGCGTTGGTGGTCATCAGCTAATTGGCACCATTGAGACCGAAATCGATGGCCCATCTATAACTCACCGCCAGTCGCGTACCGAAAGTGAACCGCAGAAACGTCAGTCGCTGCTCTCGATTGGCAGTTTCAAGATAGGCAACGCCAAAGAAAGTCCAGCTAGTACCGAAAGCACTGAGCCGAAAAAGCGGAAAACTCTGCAAAAGAGTCGCGATTTTCTTAGCGACATTTTCATGGCGCGTGGTCGAAACCATCAGCGTCAAAATCAGCAAAACCAGCAAAAGCAGCAGCAGCAGCAGGCTGGCAAGCCAAATAAATCGAATAAAAGTAATGCCAAAGACGTAATCGCCATCACAGCCACAGCCACCACACACCTTGAAACGAACTCCGACCCCGCGCTCGCATCCCCGACTACTTATCAAATGACTTTGGCTAATAATAGCCCAGAGAATAGCGGCCAACGAAGAGCGACGAGCAGCGGCGAAGAGAAAAGTAAGCCAGCTGGAGTGAAGCTGAGTGAAGAGCAGGCGGCGAGTTTTCCCGCTGAGAGCGAGAGTTTTCCGCCAAAGATCGAGCCGGAAAAAGAGCCAAGAGCCATGCGTTCGTCGGCGTTCCTCATTCAAGCGGCAAACGTTGAGAGGCCAACAGCAATTGCCGAACAGCAACAGCAGCAGCCCGGCAATGCAATTGCTGCCCCGCAGCAACATCTGGCCAACAAGCAGCAGCAGCAGAAGCAACATCAAGCGCCACAGCAGCAACATCAGCAATTAAGTGACATAACCATGGGCCAAACTAGTGCCAAACCGAATGAAATCAGTTCGGAACACAGTTCGCGTGCCAGTACGCCGCGTGAGTTCCGTGAGTCGATCGTGAGTCCGCCGCCGCAGCCACCGCCCAGGCATCAAAGGTCACCGGAAGTGCCGAAAATCACCGTCGAGGATTGTAGTTTCCCGGAGGAAACCCTAGCCAAAACACCGGAAATATTCTACGAACTAAATGAAACCGCCGAGGATTCGCTAAACATCGAGGAACTCAACGAGGCGCATATAGAGACCCTAGAAGATGAGGTCTTTGCCACGGATATACCAGCTACAATCTATCAAAATTCGAATAATCGTCCCTGGACTCGCTTGAGCAATGTGAAACTGGAAAATGTCCAGGAGGAGGCCGAAGAAGAAGACGAGGAGGACGAGGCTGAGGATCTAGATGATGTCGATGAGGCAGTGGAACTAGACTACGATCCCCATATAGGCCATAACCATCAAACAAATGGCAACTCTCGGCAGTCGGCCAGCAGTGAGAGGAGTGCCCTGAAGAGTGACTCCAATCTGAGCAGCAGCTATGCGGATTCCGGGATCGGGGAATCGCAGGAGTCCCCGAACCAGGCACACAATCCACAGCCACCGCAACCACCGCCACGCAGCTCCTCGCATATGGCTACCACCCAACAGAGTCAACAGAATCCACAGAACCACACCTCTTCCTTTATACGCGATGGCAACTCCACCGACTGCGAGGAGACCTTTCTGCAGTGCGACGAACTCGACGACATTGAGCGTTTCGGCGAGTTCAGCGAGCGTTTGGTATGCATCGAGAGCATCAGTCTGCCGGATGTGGTTGTGGAGTCAACGACCGCCAGTGCAACCGCATCAGGAACAACACTTTCAGCCACATCCACATCAGCAGCAGCAGCCCCATCATCATCATCAGCCTCATCGGCGACCACAAATGGCGGCGATTCGCAGATCAACATCAATATTGCCAACGGAGCGGGGGGCAATAGCCTGGGCAACGTGCACTTCATACCCATCCACGTCGAGGGACGCAGTCGCAGCAGCAGTCCCAAGCAGCGCAGCCGGGACGACAGTTGTCTTGGCCAGGACATGACGCCCTGCATCGAGATCATCGAGGACGGGAGTGTCCTCAACAAGCCGGTGAGACAGGAGAGCCCCTTCGACAGTCAGGAACTCAGGTGAGCTAAATACTTATAAAGAAGGGGAAATTTAAAAAAAAATGGCATTCCAATTTTGAAAATATATTAGAAAAGATTATAATTTATTACAATTAAAAAGGAACTTAATTAAATTTCTTTGGGACTTAACCACCAGGAAAATTTATAACGCGATGCATTTAATAATTTTCGTATATTTACCTTTTATAGTTTTTTTTGGAATGAGAAATATAAAAAATATTGAAAAATATTGAAATATTAATTGCAACGAACTAAAAATCACATTTAATTTTCTTTCAACAATGAATATTACTAGAAGTAATTGTTTTTATAGATATGCATCAAGAAATTATAAAAGTGCATCCAAACGGCGTTTCCTCATGACGTATACTTGATATTAGCTAGTTGTAGCAGCTGCGGCATCAAGTACGGCGTATTTACTTAATCGCAAGCGCATGCCAACAATTTCACCATTAACATGGCTAGGTGCAGCCAATTTATCTTGATCTTTGTGTCATGGAACATGCCTTGTGATCTGGTTTTTCTTACTGGGAAATCAGTCAGCGGAAATTTCCCTCTCATTTGCTTTGTGTGTTTTTTGCCAATTTGATTTGTGTCGAGTTTTCCAGTCGGGGACGACTATTTTTAAATGGATCAAAACACATATTCATCCACAAACAATTTGATTGGTGAAAAATTTTGAGGCATCTGCCAATCAAAATTGTTTTATGAATGAAATTTAATTTCTTCATTTTAAGAAATTTTAGCACAAAGTGGAAAAAATAAAAACCGATTTAAAAAAGTCAATATAGTACTAAAAAGTTTTAATTAAATATGTCAAAAGAGTTTCCGTCGTTTAAAGTGATACGATTTGATGGATAATTTTCCTTCAAAAAATATTCTGCAAGAATACCATATTTATAGAAGCGAATTCCTTAGAAAATCCCACTTGTTTTGGCTAGTGTCTCTCATTACGTATACGCAGTGTGAAAGGTGGCATTGTTTGGCCTTCGCCGATATGACAGATTATGACAGCCGTGCGGCAAGTGTCTCATAGCCAAATGGCCACAATTATTTCGACAATTTATATTTATGTAAATTTTCGTATTTTAAATAATAAACATTAGATTTGTGTTCAAAATGGGTTGAACAAGTGAACGAGGGCAAAAATAAATTCACTTCGTCATTTCTCGTTTGGCTTTCTTCCTCTTAGTTTGCAATTTTTGTTGGCAACATGTTGGTCATTTCCCACGCTTGTTTTTTGCACACTCTGACATAGGGTATATCAATTAGAACATCATCTGTTTAAAGTTTATATATATTTTAAAAAGCTTAGAAAATTATTTTTTGAACATATGATTTTTGTAATTTTTAATTATTGCTTAAACATTTTTTGTTACTTCCTGTTATTTCTTTAAAACCGTGTCTCATATAGAAGATAAGTTCCTAGAGAGCATACGTGGCCTCGACTTACCTTAACTTTAGAATTTTTCCCTCAATCATATTTTCTCATGTGCATAGAACACGATCTGCCTGCTCTAGTTTTATTCGCCTTGCTTATTTTAGGTGTAGTGCAAAATGAAAAAGACAAGTAAATTTTGAAACGTTCATATTTAGAGCAAACTTGTGAGGAAATGGTCAAGCGGGGGGCAGCGAGCACTTGTGGAATTTTATTTGGGTTGTTCTTGATTTTGGTGGATAATTGATTGGGCATACGAGCAGGAGGAGGAGCATCCTCCACCTCCACTTAGCTAGCATTGAAAGATTGTTTATTCCGCCGGCACATGCGGCGTATGCGTAATTTGCCTCGAATAACTAATGGACCGTTGCTTTCCCGAATCTTCGGCTGCTGTTTCCTTCTCTTCATCACCAGTTGTTTATCTAATCCGATTTAATTATCAACTTGGGCATAAACAACGAAAGAATCCAAGCTGGCAACTATGCATTCGCCTCGGAAAGTTCACAGGCACCGGCAAAGATGCTCTTGCCAAAAATAATTGAAATAACTTTCAATCTAAGTACACGAGATGCATCTGTCCTTTGTATATTTATCTCATTCCCGCTCCCCATATATATCTCTGTCTATCTTTATCTCCGACTATCTCTAGAGAAAAGCTAGAAACGCGTGTCACAAAATTTGATAAATTCACATTGTCTATACTAAACTTATGGGCGCATAATGGGGACAGTGTAGAACATAATAGAATATTCGAAAATCTTTATAACAAATATTACAATCAATACATAAGTGTTAAATATATAAAATACTCCGTTTTTAGAAGCTAGTTAACATTTTAAATTATTCAATGTCTATCACACTGCTCTTGCATTATAAAGTCTTAACTTTTCTAAGAAGATCAGATAAGGTAATAATATTATAGTATGCTTCTAACACAATTGTATCAATTTTTATAATATATTTATACGCATCGTGATCCTTAATGATCATGATATTATGAGTTTGACACTATCGATACGCACTGTATCTTCTATAGAGAGCGACTGAGAGTTGGCAAAATGCGCGAACAAAAACAGCGGAAAACCGTTGATTTAAAAATAAACTTTGCGCATTTTCGCAGCAACCGAGAATCGACTAGGATAAATTCAATTAAAACGTATTTCATTTTTGCGTTGAAAAGCCAAAACAAAACAAAGCACAAGCCAATATACATATTATATAAAATTGTATCTGTATCTTTGTCTACGTCTACGTAGCTATATATCTGAATACTACAATATGTATCTCAACAAATTATGGTTGAGGAAGACGTTGCCACGGTTTTTACACCTCATTCACATTTAACGAGCTTTTCCATTCAAATTACGTCAGGCCAATGTCTAGCTATAGGTATAAACGCTGGGACAATAATATAAAATAATAATTATTTTTATTTCTCTGTGGTTTTGCTTTTATTTATTTATACAGTTCGTGCTGCGTGCGCGGAACACGTTTGTGATTCATTTTGTTTGTGTTGGGGATTATTCAGTGACAAGATTTGTTTGAAATATATTCGTCTGACAGTTGAGCTGATCTGTCTAGGGATTTATGTTTCTATTCCGAAAATTACTCATCCTTGTACTATATACGCTTTCCCAGAAAGGAGCTGAAACAGCAGAAAGCTCGATTCGCCAGCCAATTGGATGAGGCCCACAAGAATGCCAGTCAACTGGAGGGCAAGGTTGCCGATATGCAGTTCAAGATCCAGAAACTGGAACAGGAACTGTCCGTCAAGCAATGGAATGTTGAGAGTAAGAATATCATTTAAAAAATATTTTTAGAAACCCTTTTAATTTTATTTTAATAATATTTTTTGCAGGGCTACAAAGTGAACTTAGCGCAGCCCACAAGGACGATGAATATGTGAGGAAAAAACTCAAGCTACTAGAGGATGAAAAAGTCCACTTACGGCACAAGTACAGCGAAAATCAAGATGAATTCCAGATCAAATATAGTGGGTATACAAAAATTATTTAAATTTTGTAAAATCAAATGCTAATTTTACTAATATATTTTGTTATGTTCTTCCAGACGAACTCGAAGCTCAGTATACCGAACTAACCGAGAAGTACAAAGAGACCCAAAGCCTGGCTAAAAGCCTGCAAACCCAATTGGCCTGTGCCCAAGTCGAGGCTGAGGAATGGCGTCAGCAGGTGGAGAAGATTCGAGCGGAACTGGAGGAGCAGATTCGCATTCTCAAGAACGCCCTGGAAAACTCAGAGGCGGAACGCAAGATCTGCGAAGACAAATGGCAAAAGGAGTTCGAAATGCTCAGGACACACAATCGAGGTAAGATTTTTAAAAACAAAAGAAAAACATTTTAGTGTCTATACATTAAGCAATTAAAAACTTAATTTTTTCAAATCATTAGGAACAATTTATTTAAAAACCCTAATACATTTTTTGGCTTAAAATGACATACGATTTTAATATTTTAAAGAGCGGTCTATTAAACATTTTAAAATCTACATTTTGCTTAAGTGGTTAAATGATCATTTCTATCTTTTTTACGATTATTATTTGGAATTCGATTAATAAATACTTGTATCAAATTCCAAAAAAAACGTATTAAAAAATAAGCAGAAAAAAACATATACAATTTTTATTATCTTAGATTTATAGATAAGTATCGAACCTTAGCGTTTACAAATTAATTTGTTGTCATTTACTAATAATACCATTTTAAATATTGTTAATTATTTTTTATCAACTCTGTAATCTAATAATATTTATAATTTATTATAGAACGCGAGGAATCCCTGATGACGGACTGCGAGTGGCAGCTGCGGCAGATGCAGCGGCAGTGCAAGGACAAGACGGACAAGTCCAACTACGAGCGGAAGCAGGCGAGCGCCAAGGCGGAGGAGCTGGAACTGGAGCTGCAGTCCCGCCGAAGGGAGTCCGAGATGCTGCGCACCTGCCAGGCGCAGGTGAACTCGCTGAGGGGCGTGGTCAGCGAGCAGGAGCAGTCCATCCAGACCCTAATGGACCGCATTGAGAACCTGAAGGGGGATCTGCAGTCGGCCAACGAGAACCTCGAGACCCAGATCGAGGCGGTGCACAAGATCAAATATCAGTGTGATAAGTGGGTATATCTGGGAAATATTCCTATAGCAGTTGTAAATAATAATTATATTCCTCTTTAAGTGCCATCTATGACAAGGAGCGTCAAATGATCTACAAAATCGATGAGGTGCGAAACGAAGCGGCCGCCTTCTGGGAAAACAAACTTTAGTAAGTACTATTTGTGAGATATGTTTATGACCTGGACTATAGCTTCAATTTTACACCCCTAGCACAGAGATGACAAGACTGACAAATGAACTGGAGTCCGTGTATGTGGACGAGCGCCGGGATGCGTTGGATAAACTGCAGAACGAGCACATCGAGGAACTGAGGGCCCTGACCAATCGATATACGGCCAACGAGGAGGAACTGCGAGCCGAGGTAGAATACGTTTTTAAGAAGGGGTTGCCTAATGATATCTTTGGCTATAATCGATAATATCGATACTATCAAAAATGATTTAAACGCATAGACAACTTAATGACACCTTTAATTAATGGAACATTAATGCATAAATCATATTACTTAAAAGATACATCGAATTGTACAACAATCGATAGTATCGATAGTATCGATAGTTTTAGTTATCCTAATTCCAAGTAAATTTATATCAATTTAATTCGTATTTATAAATCCCCTTTAGATCGAAGATCTGCACGAGAGCCTGGAGCTGAAGAAACAGGATTTCCTCAGCCTTCGCGAACGTTCGGATAATGCTCTGCTCCAGACCCGCATGCATTTGGATAAGGCCGATCGCGAGTACCAGAATGCCATGTGCCGCGAGGAGGATCGCCGTGTGGAACTGGAGGAGAAGCTGAAGAGAGAGTTCGAAGCGGAGAAGGCCGAGATGGAGGAGAAGTTCCGCGAGCGACTGGGCCAGGTGAAGGAGGAGTTCGCCAAGGAGCTGCAGCTATCCACGCAGGACATGGTCGACTCGCACCGGAAGGAGCTGGGTGAGGCTGGGCTAAAATTTTTAAATTTCATTAAATTTTTTAATATAGAAAAGAAAGACCTACAAAAATCGATAAATTTAAAAACACTTTCTAAAGTGTCCTATCTCCATATTCAAATTTTTAAGAAGGTCTAAAACCTTATACATTTGCTGATGCATTTTTTTAAAGCATATATTTATTTTGGAGTATTTACGAAGAGAGAGAAGTCATCAAAGTGTTATTTGATGATATTATTTAAATAAAATTATTTATTTAATTATATATATATTTGTGTGTTAGGGCTGAGCCTATAAAATTGATAAATACATGTTTGCATTTCATCAAAACCAACAGACTCTCAGAAGGCCAAATTGCAGTCGGAAAGGGACGAGGCGTTGCAGGAACTTGTGGAACGACATCGCGCGAAAATGGCCGCTGCCGATGAACGAATCAAGTGAGTGGCTGAGTAGCATGCCCCGCCCTTATGAATATTTAATTACCCGATAGTACCTGTACCACTGCTCCCTACTAAATTGCATTGAATGTCTGCATCCCACTCATTTGTCACCTTTGAGGCCTTGATCTCGATTCATTATCATACGAACATGTATTCTGTTTCTCTCGTTTCACACTTTATTCATTGGATCAGCATGGATCAGCATTTAGGTCGATCGACATCCTCTCCGGCCCTGTGGGCCTTGGCCAAGGGGGCGTGGCCGTATATGCCGACTCTATATGTGCTATATCTGACCATGTCGCCGCTGATTGCCATTGCATGCTTAGTGTTTAATATTGTCGCTGTGCTCTACATTAAATACCGTCACCTCTTGGCTCGCCAATAAAATTCTATCACCCCGTTTTAGCTTTGTATGGTCCTTGAATTAATTTTGGGATTTTACGGAGGTCTCTAGGATTTTAAAAACATTGGTTTAGGTGTTTGAAATTAAATAGAAATTACATAGAAATTTAATAACACTTTCAATAAACCGTAATCAACAGGCTAATTTGATCAGTATTTGTTTAATGTCTATATTCATTTTAAATTTACTCTGTAGAAAAACCAGCAAGTTAACGACTATAACTTACACATATAGTTCTATGTCTTATTTTATATTTACACTTTATTCACAATTAAACAAAACATATTCTTAAAATTTTTTTTTTTGCTCAGCATCAATTTTTTGAACTTTCTAGTAACCTCACACTGTACCTAAAAATAATTGTTGTCAATTGTAGAACACCTAAATAAATGTTTTAATATCTGTAGAGTGTTCCAGAATCCCTAAGATTATTATGATTTTTTTTCTGGAATGCAGCTTGTCAAACTTTGCCCTTTCGGAACGATTCTCTTAATATTTTACTTTCTCTTTCTCGCTATGTGTGTGTATCCACCTCAACCTCTGCCCACTTTTTATAACCTGTATAACCCAAACCCGAATCTGAATCTGAATCTGAATCCGCAACCGAACAAATCCGCAACCGCATCCGCAGCGATGTAGAACTTCGGCACCAGCGCAATCTCAAGGACCTGAAGGCGGCCTACGATGCCGAGAAGGCGGCGCTGGACAAGCGCGACATCAGCAACGCCAACGAGATCGAGCAGCTGCACCGCAAGTGCCGCTGCCTGACCAACCTGTAAGTGCCCCCACCACCCAAAGCCCGAAACCCACCATATCCCGAAAGTCAAGTTCTTAAAACCATTTAAAAATTCTGTATTATTAAAATAGTAATTTGTAACTTAAAAGAAATAGTTTTTAATATTATCCAAAACCGTAAACATTTATAATATATTTGAAACATAACATAAATACTATTGAGTTTATAAAGAATATGGAATTAAGTACTTGACCGAACCTCTATAAATCTTTACTTATCTTATCCAAACTGATCTTACTTTTGCTTGTCCATGTTGTGGGATGTTGTACGCTAAGTCAGTATCCAGTATTCGCTTTAAATTTACCAAAATCTTATATCCCATACTAAATAAAACATTTTAAAAACAATTATTTCCGTAGGTTCGAGGAGATGCGCATGCGATACGAAAGGCGGGATCCTCGAGCCGAGGATCTGCGTGAGATATCCGAACTGCGAACACGATGCGAAAGTCAGGAGAGAGATTTGTACGTGCTCACCGATCGCCTGCGCGAAATGCAGATTCAAATGTCCGAGATGCAGCAAAACGGTGACCGAAAAGGCGGTGGAAAGTCGATCAAGAAACCTCCGCCCAAATCGATAGCCACCAGCTGTGACGTCATATACGAGGAAAACGAAGAGCGGGAATCGCCCGAGCAGGAAAATGGGGAAAACTCCTCCCAGGGAGATGACGATGAAGAGGAGGAGGAGGAAGTCGAGCAGGAGCCCAGCGATACAGAGTCAAATCACACGATCGAGGTCAATGGAAAGTCCGATCGAATTAACGAGGATGACGCCCATCTCATCACCGCCGTGTGATCTACCAATTCTTCTATATCTTCCAATTTTGTGGCTGTATTTTTCGAGATCCCCCGGAGTGGAGGTTCCATGACCAAGGATGTGTGATCCCGGGTGCTTCGGTGCTTCATGTGCTGCCCTCTGTATCGCAGGATACGGAAATCGACCCACTCAACAAAATCGCTCAAAGCTTGAACTCATAAAAATTGTAAATGAAATTTCTGAATTGGTTTTTGAAACCGCAAAAAAAATAACGAAATAAATGTAAATATTTTTAACTAAAATGGAATATTTTTATTTTTCATAACAAATAATTTCTCATAACAAAATAGACCATGGACCAAACAAATTCAAAAGCATCTTAAAGTTATTAATAGACATCGGATTTTAGGTGAAATCGTTTTTTTTAAATACGATTTAAAGCCACATTTGATTGGTTACAAATTTTATTTATTAAGATATAATTAGATTTAGGCCAAAATTAATTGAGGTTTTTTTAAAAAAATTGTATCCAATAAAATGTGGCTTTAAATCGTATCTAAAAAAAACGATTTCACCTAAAATCCGATGTCTAGTTATTAATATTGAAAATCCTGCATAATTGAAAATAGTTCTTACATATTTTCTACATTCCTTAGTAATTTTACACGTCGCAACCCAAACATAACATCGATTCTACAAGTTCCCATAGGGTGATTCGCCTATTAAAATTGGTCTGTTTTCGTGCTCTCTCTCAGAACACTCTCTCTCGCAAATTCGAACAAACTCATCTGCAACTATCTCGCTCTAACGCACGTATTGCGAGAGAGCATAAGCAGAGCGGAGCTAAAATATAGCGGCTGGGTACGATTTCTTATCATTTTAGTACAATACGATTTTAAGAAACATAGTGGACATGAACAATAATAATAATATTCAAATAAATGTTGGGTCAAAATTTTTTGCTACGGTTTTACATTTTTAATATCTGCTTAGAAAACTTAATTTTAATTTACCTATAAATTTAATAATAATACTTGTCTAATAGAAAATTCCATTTTTTTAACGTTTTCTTGAAATATTTCAACTTCTAAACTTCTTACACTAGTTTAAATATATTGTATTATTGATTTAATTATTCTTAGGTTTTTTAAAGTTTATCCCAAAATTTTGAAAATGAGTTAATGTTAGTTGTAGCATCTGTTAGCTCAACAGATGTTTTGGGCTCTGTTACATGGAGAGAGAGAGAGAGAGAGAACGGGAGAGTGTAATCGCGCATGCGCCCGAGCGAGAGACCGAGTGTACTAAACGATTAGCTCATTTTAGACCGGGTTCCAAATGTATACGAACGGCACCGCCGAACGGGCAGTAGTTGAAATTAGTACATTTAATGTTAAATTGACCTTTCCATGAACACTGACAACATTTCTTACTCCAAGATTTAATTCTTTATTATTCGTCAACCTTCAAGAGTATGGCCAAAACTACTCAACATACCCTATGCATTAATACTTAAAAATGTAAATTTATTTTTAATTGTACCTTTTTAATAATAATGTACGTATTTTCCAGGGTTCGTAAACATCACTCATTTTAAAAATCCCTCAAAAACAAGCCGACTGTGATGAAAATAAATAAATATCAATCACGATACTAACAAATTGTCGTCTTTGCTCTTTACTGATCGAAAAATATTCATCATGAGTGAAGAAAATAAAATGATTAAAAACTTTTATAAAACTTGGTGTTAGTAGCCTTTTTGTTTTTATTTTCCTCACAAAATGTCAAAAATGAGGAAAATGTTTTAAGGAGAAAGCAGGATAAAGCAGTTTAGAAAAATATTCATCAGCCCTGCTTGGAAACTCCTCATTTTATTGCGACAAATATCACAGCCCTATTTTAACATTTGTATATTTAAACAAAATGACAGATTGTGAGGGATATTTTACGAACCCTGGTATTTTTGGAAATTAAATCGGATTGGTAAAGTTAGCATTTGAGTGCTTAAGGACAGTTAACATTGTGCATCGAGTGAAAGCTAGCAAGGCAGAGTTAACAGAGCGCGAGAGCAAAATTGCGGGGCGAAACTAACAGTGTGCGTGAGCGTAACATTGATCTAAAACATAAGAGAGTAAAAATGAGAGAGCCTCTCTCGGGAAAAAACTGCCTTTGCGAAGAGAATTCTCGAGCGAAACGCTTGTTTTGAAACCAACAACCAGCCAGCCCGTGAAACGAATCATTCGTACATTCAGTTTTTCAAAAAAACTCGAACAAAACGGTCGAAAGGCTCGGGCTGCGGACGATTTGGAAATCAGCTCGAACGATTCGGTCTGTCGCGAGAAAAACTGAAAAGCCGGCAAAACTGATGTGTTGTGATTGAGAAAAACGGTAGCCAAACGAGCCGTTTAATGGGCAAACAAGCTGGCCAATAACCAATAACCATTTACCATCAAGCAAAGCAGGAATCGTGATAACAAAGCGGAGACGAAACCGGCAGCAATTTGTTAATTTTAAACGTCGTGTGTGTTCCTCTCCTGGCAGCAGCAACAAAAATACAAGCGAAAAGCATTTAAATTGCATTTTTAGGACCCTTGATATTTTAGTGGAGGAGACAGCAAGGTCGTCGGGGTCAAACGATGCAAGTGACAAAATCAAAATTGGAGTAAACAGGGTAAAAGTTTGAAGAACAAAAAGGAGACACGGATTATTATTTTTTTGTATGTAATTTTGAGCATCTTCGCGTCGCGTAACGGTAAATCTTCTGCGTTCTGTTTCTGTGTGCGTTCGTGTTTGAGTGTGCGTTTCTCGGTTTTGTTTTCGTCTCCTCCTCGCCGTCCTCCTTACACCTTCAACTGCCATCTCTCCTAATTTCTTCTACGAAAAAAAGGAGAGCGAAGACCAAAAGTAAGTGCCGCTACTTTTATTCCTTCCAAGTGTTGTTGTAAAAGATTTGCAGCCATGTGTGTGCGAGGGAGATTTGTGTGTGCGAGTGTGTGTGCAGCCTCCACCAAGCGCCGCATTTAAAGGATATTCCTAATCCGTTTTATTGATTGCAGGGCAAAAGGGAGAAGAAGAAAAAACAGCAACAACAACAACTACACAGCTGGAGAGCTCAAATTGTTTGCGTGTGTGTGTGTGTTTGCCGTGTTTAGTTGTTGTTCTCGCAATCTGTGCCGCTTTTTTATGTTTTTATTCCCTCTCCATTTCCACTCTATCCTCATCCTCATCCTCCGGGGTTGTAGTTGTTGTTGTTCGTGATTTTGTAGTGCCTGCTGTTTTCGTTTCTCTCTCTGCTTTCGCCTTCTAATTCTGACTCTTTGCCGGCTTTTTGCTGTCGCTGCCCACAGATTTCCTGACAAATGTTAATTATTTCCTATGGAGCATTCTATAAATCTTTCTCCAATTGTCCGTTTCCACTTGCATCTATAAGTCTGAAATTTCAACTACTAAATGTTATACCATTCTAATTGTAATTCACTATTATGAAATTAAAAATCCAATATATCTATTATTGATAAAATGACATTAAAACTTTTTTTAAAATAAGGATTTGTTTAATAATGTACAATTGGAACACGATTTTATTTTTAAATTTAATATTCAAAGAGTTCAGTCAGTTTTAAAATTATAAAAAATTTTCTAATTTGCAACTTAGTATTGTAAAAAAATATCAAACATTTAAAATTGTGGTTGAAAATTCAGAAGTATTATTAATTCTCGTTATAACTTACTCCCAATAAAATATTAAAAAAAATTCTTTAACTCCTGAATGTATTCTGAATTGGCACAATATTTATTAAATCATTTTTGGTATTTATAATAATAAATGGTTGTCTTATCTCTTACCATTAATCAGCGGAATTTGACAATTATAGAATATATCTGTGCTAATTAAGTGATTTAAATGTTGAAAGTAATCTCCAGTAAATCTACTTAACGCTACTGAAAAGTTTTCAAGACACCTGTCTTGGCAGTGTCAAAACAAAACGTTCAATCGCTGACTTTTAGACACCGAAATGAATGTTTTTAAATCTCACAAACACACACCTTGGTTTCACATTTTTTTTCGCGTTCCTTATCTCTGCTTATAATACTTGTACATTTTCGCTGCGTTCCATATCTCTGTGAATAACTTCATCAGAAAATTAAGCGAAATATGCCAGGCACCTGCCCCCGTGGGCATAACTCAATAATCACATCAAATGTCGCCACTGGACCGCCTTGCACCCTTTTTGCCCCCAGAGTTCCTGGAGCAGCGGTCGCAACACCTCCTTAAGAGGTGTGTCCAGTCGACTGGGTCTCCGCACTTCTGGCCCCCAAGATCCCAAGATATCTCCCGGCTGCCCAGCTTTTCAGCTCCACAGCTCCTCAGCTCTTCAGCTCCCCAGCTAATGCCGCACAGCTGCGCGCCATTTAAGTCGCTGACAAGTGTTTTGCCGGCATCTCCGGAATGCGACGGATACGGTGGATGCGAGGTGGAGAGACCTGGCTTCCAGGCTCCAGCTTTCAGCCTTCAGCTTCCAGAGCCACAGAAGCCGCAGCAAAAAGTGGCAGCCAACATTGCTACCAATTATGCGATAAGCGAGAGGAGCCCTGCACAGCAGCTGATGCTATTTCACCTCACAATTGTGAGAAAACTTTAAGCAAATACAATGCGGGCTAGCAAATTAGAAGCTTCAACTTTCGGACTTATTTCCAAGTGCAGTTTTCATACTCTAAATGCCTTCATCCATTTATTGTTCAGCTTTTTAATTGATTCAATTATGCATTTAGTTGTGAGTAAATAACACTTAATTGTACAACTGAGAACTTTGCAATTACCAACATTTTGATCAGATATAAAACCTAAATTTTATTTGTCTGGACTTTTTTGCACTATTATTAAAAGTTATTTGAAATTTTATTACGAATTCTAGAAATATGATAGGAAATGTGGTGTCAGAATTAGTGGTCTCTAAAATCCAAATCCAAATTAAATGCATCACAACAATAACAATAATATTTATTTTTAATTGGATATAGGGTTTTTTGAGAGCGAATAAAAAAATATATTTTAAATGCAAGTTAAAGCAAAAAAAGTATAGAACCACAAGAAAAGAACACCATTTTTTAAAAGTTTCCGTACATAAATTATTTCACATTAAACAAAACTAAGCGGCCTTTTCAAAAATCCATAGTGCCCCTTGAAACCATTAAAAGAAAGCAAAAGTCGCAGCAGGGCTTACACTTCCCACACTTTTCAATTAAAGCCTACTTTTTTCGCACTTTGCCAGCAAGTTCGTGCAACTTGCAGCCGAACAACGTGTTAACATGGCCAAAAGCGGTGGGAGACTCGGGCTAATGAAGTGATTAGACTGCGATTTCGCTGATGTTGTTCCCTTAAAGAGTATACGAAAAAAGCATAATAATAATGGAAGGGAAGAAAAAATGAAATTGGATGGGGAAAACTAACAAAAGGCCGCGTGCGCAGCCATCAAACGAAACGAAAAGCGTGCAACTGCAACAAAAACACCGGCAAGAACAAGAGCAGAGGAATGACCTTATATTGCAACTGCAAGTCAAACAAAGGGCCGCTAATGGGTGGTATTGAGGGGGTTTTCGAGGGGGTTTCGAGGGGCTTCCCGAAGGGTGCAATGCCGGGTGAGGAGCGGAGCGAGAACCGGTCGATGCCCATTGGAGTCCGCTCTCCGTGCCGCGCGGCTACTGCGGGGCAATTGGGCCAAAAGCATAAAAATCAGTCAAGAGTCGCCTCCGCCAGCTCCGTTCAGCATTAAAAGCGACAAACAAACAAACAGACGGACACTGAGCAAAAAAAACATCCTCATAAAGATAATCGTGGATATAAAGCGGGATTTATGAGTACTGAAAGTAAATTATATCGTGAAATATTTAATAGTTAAAGGAAAAGAAAATTTTGCTGGCAATTTAAATTAAACAATAGTTTTTATTATGTTAGTAAAATTAATGTTAAATGGGTTAATGTCTAATGGAACATCACATCAAAGGTGGTCATTTTTAAGATCTATATATTTTTTTAAAGCCATTTCCTTTGATATTTCTCACTGTGGACAAACAGGAGTGCAACTCCCCAACTGGGAATGGAAACACGGGAGTGGGAATGGGAATGGTACTGTGGACCGGGGAATACGAATGGGACTGTGACTGGGCCTCGGACTCGAACTCGAGCTCGCACTGGAGCTGGACCTGAAACCTGGACACTCGCATCCAAAAGGCCGCCCGTGCGAGCGCAGGCAGCGCTGAAATCGATTTTCTCGCAAACTTGGCCAGGACGGGCAGCCGCAGGGCCAACAACTACTCGCTGTCCTCGGCCCTCTGTGCTCTGCTCTGCTCTGCCCTGCTCCACATTGCCTCATTCCCCCGATCCCCATCCCAATCCCAATCCCGTTCGCATTCCCATTCCCATTTTTCGTCTGCTCCTGCTCCTGAGCCTCCTGTTATTCTGGCTGTAATGGATATGGTCGAGGCGCGCGCGGTTTTCGTACCCGAGGACCTCATGGATTACAAGGGTATATTGCCTTTGACCATCAAAATGTAATGGTCAGAGTTAAGAGCCTAATGGCATATAAACTTAATTTGTTTACTTTAAAGCCCTAAGCACAATGTACCATTTGTTTTAGCGAATAAATGTTGAAATATAGAAAAATAATGTAAACAAGATTTTATAAATTAAATAATAAAATAATAAAATTGATTTATTTTTAAAAAACTTGTTTTTAAAAAGAAAATATTGAACAATTTAAAAATATTTCAAAAACAAAAGGATCTTTAAGAAAAGTAACTAGTTATTTTTTTTTTAATGACAAATAATAATTGTTTTTAATCACAATTAATTTGTTATTAAATTCATTGCCGCAATTTCAAGTTTTTATTATTTAAAAAAACGCATCCTGTTTATAGTACCAAATAAAATTGGTATAAAACCTTGTGTGTGTTCAACAACTCAAACCCGAAAGAGAGTTGATAATTGCAGAAACGGGTATCGTATAGTCGTAAAGCTTGACTTTGGCTCACTTACTGGTTAATGATGATGCTGTTAATGATGATTCCTCTGATGGGGATGATGATGACGATGCGGATGATGATGGGGATGATGCGGCGACCACGGTTTCGCTGATTTCGCTGCTGGGGTCTGCTGGTGCAGCTAAAATTGCAAGTCAAACTGTCGTCGCTCGGCGTTGTTTAGTTGTTTTACTCGTGGCATGGCGCTGCTCTTTCTTCCTCTCTCTCCACGCTTTGGTAATTGCAATTGCAATTTTCTCCAACTGCAAGTCCGACTCCTCCGACTCCCGCTCTTTCTGCTCCTGGGGGTTAGTAAATCTGCAAATTGCATTCGCCTAGCAAATTTAGTGGCAGCCGGAGTCAAGTCCATTGCTCTGAGTTATTTAATTTGGGTTATAAATAAATTTGTTTAAAGCAATAATTCGCCTTCCGCTGGGGGAAGGTAAAAAAAAAAATAAAAATAGGAAAGGTTCCGATGTAATGTTTGTTCAAGACCCATAAACTTTGATTTTACTACATTAATTTATGGCTAGAATATTTCCTTTAAGAAAAATTCCGATTGTTTTAAATTTTTAGTCAAATATATTGCCGTTTCAAACAGATGACATAGGGACATGTTCTTAAGCACTTTTAATTATAAAACGAGAAATTTTGTAAACCAGTACTGAAAGCGAACATAATTCTCGCATTTCTGCTTTACATCTTCGAAACATCACTTCTTGCTGTATTCAACAATATAACTCGGCAATAATCAGTTCTGAGTGCCACACTCACTAACGAATGGTACTAATTGAAATCATATTGCATCCACAGGGCGTCAGTGGGGTTTTTCCGGGGCGGGCGGGGGCAGAGGTGGGCTGTCAGAAGGCCAAACCAATTCCCGAGAAGAACAACATAATTCGAGGCCAGCAGGGATGAGGGACGAGCACTAGTACGATACTATACTACCATGTGATATGCAGCAGTGCAGCATCCGAGTCGGGAATCGAGAATCCAGCATCTAGACACGCAAGCAGCAGCAACGGCAACAGCATTTGCATTTGGCCCGGACAGCAATTACCGAAGCTGGCTCATGATGTTGGCCTCATGATTCTCTGCTGGCCTGAAGCCTTTGCCACCTGCTTGTCTGGGAAATCTCTGGGTGTCTTCTCCTTCCTGGGACCCATCATGTTTGCAGACGAGGTCACAATAATAGTACTAGATAAGCAGAATATTGTTTTTGGTTTGCTCAAGTAAACTGGAAATTCCTAAAGTATTTTTTTTGGAAAACATGAAAAAATAACAAAGAACCCAAATATATTTACATTATTACTGGATTGTACAAATAATGTGTGCAATTGAATCCCATTAATTATGACTATATTAGTTCTACATGCAACTATTAGTTATATCTTTTAAAATATTAAAGGCAATTATTATATTAGTTGCTTGGTGCTATTATTTTGCCCACAATTGTGGCTGCGTGTGTGTTCCCAGCAGCTTAACTGACGTGACTGTCAATAGAAGGAAAAATGAGGAGGGGCTGGTACTAGGGAGGTGGTTCTATATAGGGGGCATGCGGGAGCGGGAGCCCCCTTCGCGTTTTCATGTTTTTCAAGTTGTCTGCAAACGACACCCAGCGACGTCGCCTTTTGCACTGATTTTTGCCTTGGCGCTGTTCTGCAGGCTCATCAGAGGAAAACAACAACAAATCAACAGCGACGGTGGCATCAATGACAACCAAACAACAAGCAGCAAACAAAATCATGGATGAAAAATATTGTAGAGTTGTTCGACTTGGAGATACCGAGGATTCTCAGATAGATAATAATAAAAGATATATATTGAGTTTTAAGAAAAGATTATAGAATCTTTAAAATCCCAAGGTTTTGATTTTTTTTATTGAGTTCAAGGTTTTTTTATATTTGCTATAATCCTTCTTTAAAAAATCTCGGGATTGGGCGGATCCACCTGTTAACCAACAAAGCCATATACCTTGTGTATCTATTGCGATACAAGGACGACGACGGCATCGTTTTATGAAGGATAGACCTTGGGCTGCATCTTGCAACCCTTTAGGAATCCCTGCACCCATTCCAACCCATATATCCTGTGTACATAAGGATGGACCCGCATCATCTTATTTAAGAAGAGAGCTTTGCTGCATTTTTGCTTCTTCCTCAGCTGCTCTTGTTCCTCTTCCTGTTGTCGCTGTTGTTGTTGTCGTTGATGTTTTTGTTTATTTTGTGTTCCGAGTTGTTGTTGTTTTTGCCATTGCTTTAATTATTGTTCCGTTTCGTCTGGCATTTGACGCTGCACTTTTTCTTCATGTTTTTCTGTTGTTTTTTCATCAGGTTTTGTTTTGGTTCTTGTTTTTTTGTTTTTGTTTTTATTTTGTTTTATTGCAGTTCTTCTGCATTTCAGTGGCGTAGCACTGTGAAACGGGGGTTGAGAGGGGGTGAAAATAATACAATAGGCGCACCGAATCACTTAAATCATTCACAGCTTGGGGCGGATGTGTAATGGATACGGCTGATTGAAGAGGGAAATAATCATGTAGAGCGCAAGTGCATCAGTTTCGATAGGGTTTTGTTTTTATAATGGATATTTGATTGCACTTTAACACTACATTTGATTGGAATGTGCTAAAAAGTAATACTATTATTTTTTAAATATAAGTATTTAGTGAATTTACTTAATAAACAAAATATGATATTTTTTCGAGAGTTCCAAAAATAAATTCGAAACTGAGACAGTGTCTCTAAAACTTAAAAACCCTTCGAAGAGCTCAGGTACCTGTAACGAAGAACTCACCGAAAGAGGATTAGGCTGCACTCTGCTCAATTGGTTTCGCTCCACTCACTTGATAAGATCGTTGATCCATTAATTCGTTTCGGCGCTCTGTTATTTTTTGTGATCTCTTACCCAAATCCTCTTTTTTTCGACAGTGAATGATGCCAGTTGGTGATTCATTTTCAACTTTTGTGCGATTACTTCTGGCATTGTTTGGTCTGTGGGGGAAATTCTCGCATGTAATTATTTTAAAGCGTTTTCCATTTTGGTTTTTGTTTTTTCGCCATTAAATGTCTGTGGAAGTGCAATTGCAACGATGCTCTGCCGACTCTCTCCCGTGAACTTCTAAAATCCAAAGCGAAAACCAACCGCCCAAAAACATTTCACTTTTCTTTGTGCCAAAACGAGGAAAAACAAAAACACAAATAAAATGCAAAAGTTCGAAGCCCCCGGAACGCTTTTGCCGGTTACTTTAACTGCCATGGCAAAAGGAGCAGCAGCAGCAGCAGCAGGAGCAGGAATAATACAAAATAAAAGCCGAGCGAAACGAAATAAACAAATCAGAATGGAAGAGGACGAACCACGAATGCAGCCAGGACCTCGAGTTTTCCAGGCTCCTCGGCGAACTGCAACGTCCCAGATACTTTTTCATTGCAACACAGGGAAAAATAATACTAACAATAAAAGCAAAAATATATATTTTCAAAATATTTAAGGGAAGACAATTTAATTTTCAATATTTTTAACTATTTATAAATTTTACACTAAATAAAAATAAATGAATTTACCAATATTTAAACTAAGGAAATAGCTTTCCAAAAGTTCGTTTCACACAATAGGTAAATCTTTGAACTAAAAAAAATTATAGTATTATTATTAAATAGAAAATACATTAAAAGGCATAATAAATATTTTTTTCTCTGTGCTGTTGTTAGCCATTTTTGTGTGACTTAAATTGCATTTTATTTCTGCAACGTTGCAAAACATTTATTTACTTTCATGGTTTGTTGAGTATTTGCCAAGCCACAAGGAACTACTGCAACGACGAGGCATGAAATTCGCCAAGGATAAGCACGATGATGACGATGCAATGGTGATGATGATGATGTGCCAGAGGATGACGATGTGGCAGCGGAGTTTCAAACAGGCGAGCGGAACTGTTGACTGCTTTTGAACTTGTGCGTCGTCGTCGTCCTCGGCAATTGCATCCTTAGACAATGACGCGTCCATAGAAGGCGGCAGCAGAATGAGTTGAATTCACAGAGTTGCAGACATTTTGACAAGCGACAGTCTTCTTATATTTTTTTTTAATATTTTTTTTTTGGCGTTTTGGCAAAGGGTGTGCCCTTTAAGTAGCAAGCGGATTTCGTGAAAGGGCTTCAGATTATTATTATTATTTTTATTTTGTTTCACCCTTTATCAAAAGTATATCTTTTGAGCATACCAAATTTTTCAAATGCCCTTGACATTTTGTTTTGATTTAATTAATTTAAAACAAAAATATTCGTTTCAATTGCTAATCGGAACAATTTGTATTTTCTTTTAGATTTTGAAGACCAACATATTGATGATTTAATTTTTACAACCTGAAAAATTGTAAGTATTTATTTAAGAAAATAACTTAAATAATATCAAATTATTTTTAAAAAGTACAACAATTATTTTAAAATAGTATTTGACTAGAGTATTTATATCTTGGTGTAGCTAGTGAAAATATCTGAAAATTTCGGTGCCGGGCGGATTACGCAGATGAAGATTTTTCAACACGCCGCCGATTGAAATTGATGAGGCCTGCGCCCTGAAAGTTGCCTCTGCGGCCACAATTATGCGCTAATTAAATGCTACATAATTTTTTGAATGCCGAAGACAACTAAAACAAGAAAGGAAGCTAGCTTCGGCCAGCCGAAGCTTATATACCCTTGCAGATCATTCCTATTAATTAACAAATCGCAAAAATGTTCAATTTTCTAATATTTCTCATTAATTTTCCGATCGTTCCTATGGCAGCTATATGATATAGTCGTCCGATTTTGATCAAATTAAAATTGAAATTCGGAAATATTTAAAAAGAGTCATATCCTAGAGTAGAAGATAATACAATAAAAACCAAAGAAGCTAGAATTTATTTCCTATTACTTTTCCATTAATTTTCCGATCGTTCCTATGGCAGCTATATGATATAGTCGTCCGATTTTGATTAAATTAAAATTGAAATTCGGAGATATTTAAAAAGAGTCATATCCTAGAGTAGAAGATAATACAATAAAAACCAAAGAAGCTTGAATTTATTTCCTATTACTTTTCCATTAATTTTCCGATCGTTCCTATGGCAGCTATATGATATAGCAGTCCGATTTTTTAAAAAATGAATTCGAAATTCAGAAATATTTAAAAAATAACATCCCCAAAAGTAGAAGGTAATATTTCAAAAACACCGAAGCTAGAATTTTTTAAAGTTTTTTTTTCCGATTGTTCCTATGGGAGCTATAAGATATAGTTGTCCGATCCGGTCGGCTCCGACATATATACTACCTGCAATAGAAAGAAGACTTTTGCGAAAGTTTTGTCCCGATAGCTCAAAAACTGAGAGACTAGTTTGCGTAGAAACAGACAGACGGACAGACGGACAGACGGACAGACGGACAGACGGACGGACAGACGGACAGACGGACAGACGGACAGACGGACAGACGGACATGGCTAGATCGACTCGTCTTGTGATGCTGATCAAGAATATATATACTTTATGGGGTCGGAAACGTCTCCTTCACTGCGTTGCAAACTTCTGACTGAAATCATAATACCCTCTGCAAGGGTATAAAATGCATAACATATGTTGTGCAGCCCGAAAACGCTGGGATCTCTCGGTATCAGTCTCAGTCTGGGTTTCTCAAACCCGAAGTCGATGGAGAACCAGAACCGCTTTTGTGCCTCTGCCAGTCTGGGTGAATTGTGGCCTCATGCCTTGGGCTCGGGGCACAAGAAACAATTTTCAGGCACACACAAAGAAAAAGAAGCAGAAGCGGCAGCCATAACCATAACATGTTTTGTTATTAATTATAGTTTACGCAATGCAGGGGACAGGCCGAAGACAACAACAGTCACAGTCACTCAGGGATCGAGGCTGGCTGGCTGGCAGGAAGCTCGACTTGACCATGTGCTCCTCCTCCTCCTCCTCCTCTTCCTCCGGCTGCAGCAGATCCTCCTCTTCAACAACAAAAAAAAAAAAGAAGGAAAAGAGTTCACTTAATTTGACGCACAAATGTCAGTCACAAGATGTTGTTGAACCGCGTCAGTTGGTCGGTCTCGGGCTTGGGTTCGTTCGCCTTCTGCCTGGCTGACTGGCTGCCTGTCGTTACTTTAGTTGTGAAAATAACTCAATAACTAATCCTTTTTGATGGTAGCAAAGGGTTGTTTGCCCAGGGCATTCCGAAAAGTCAAGGCGAAGCATGTGGCAAGAGGCTTCACTCAGCCGCGGCGGACTTGACAATAAAAATTATCATAATTATATTTAAATTAATATGCAACAAGGCCCGAAATGGAAAAGGGAAAAAACTGAAACTAAAACCCAAGCCGGTAATTTCCGCGCGCCCGACAAATTACAGGAAATGCCAAACACCAAAGGGGTGCTGCTGCTGCTTCTAGCGGTCTGTTTGGTGTTAGTTCACAAACTGTTTATATTAATTAGGAGCCTCGAGTAGCTTCACACTCCGCGAAGAAGACCATAGAAGTCGCACCCACGCGGAGCCATATAAAAAACATTTATGACACAACCTTCACGGAAGGGGAACATATTTTTTATGACCGTCTCACTTGAATGATTTCGTTTTCACACCTTTCAATCAATGAAACACAAATTCAATGAATAGATCCGCCTAGAAAATAGAGTATGTCAAAACTTGAGAATAAAAATGGACTTATAAATCCAATAAATTTTCTCTCCCTGCAGCAGAAATGCTTCAAATGTTTCTGGTGTTTTGTTAAAATATTTCTGTAACTCAGTTTTCTCTATAATCCCTGCTCGAGCTCAATGTCATTATCGCTCCTCAAACTTCATCGAATGGCAGCCAAGAAGTTGCTAAGCCCACCGACAGACTGAAGAAGACTTTAAGCCCCACTCGACTCAGTTCCAGCCAATCAGACCAAATTAGATGGTGGGGCAAATTAATCCGAGAGCAAGACAAATAACCAAAACTCGTAACAAATGCGTGCGACATTAATTATGCAAACAGAAATAGAAACAAAGGAGAGACAAACAAAGCAGACGACTAAATCGCTCAGTTTGGTTTATCTAAATCATGAGCGGCATTTTAAAAATCATTAATCATCGACGCTGATGAGTCAGACGGAGCTTAGGCAAAGCAAATTCGAACCGAAATTCGAACAAACGAATCGAAATGAAATACAATTTAGCATAAGTTGTGCCTGGTTTCGAATTAAATAATTAAAATCACATTGCCCGCATGTAGAATTAACTTAATTATTTAATTTATGCCAACCGAGTTGTCATCAAAAATGCAATAAAAACCCGAAATCCGTAAACTACAAAACATTTGTCAAAGCCGCCCGCTCATCGGCCTGAAATTAAAAATTTGCATAAATTTGCAATTGAATTGCACAGAGCGTGGGAGTTGACAATATTAGTTTTTAATTGCCATATAAATTATAAATAAATTCACGCTTCTCTCGCGTAGGCATTTCAAACGCGAATAGTTTGAATAAATTATATTTCCACTGTCGGCAACTGAATTTAGGCTGAGTGACTGCCTGACTGACACTTGGTAAGAGAATTTCCCGAAAAATGCATGACAATGTAAATTAATTAAAATATTTATAAGCTTGTGCCAAAATCCGAGAGTATGTGGTTTAGCTAATTGATAATTAAATGTCGAATGCAGGTGAGGATAGGTAATTGCAAGAAAATTAAGGAAATACTCAGAGGTCTTTGACACTAGTGGATGTTTTTGACTCTTGATATTATCGATACGACCTTTGATTAGATAATATTTACTTAAGTTCTGTGTATGTTTCTGCCCATAAAGTCAATTATTAGTTCCCATCATTATTTCCCCCACTAATCTCTTCTAAATTTACCATTTAGCTCGGGGCTTCATTAGTTTAACCTCTGCATTTGTTTATTATTTATGACTTTCATTAGGCTTAACTGTTATCCTCCTTTTTCAACGTTTACAAGCATTTAACTACTAAATAAAAAACAACTAAAACAACAAATGAATTAAGCTTTGTTTACATTACGAATTTCATGTTAGATTTATTGGTTTTTTATACCCTTGCAGAGGGTATTATGATTTCAGTCAGAAGTTTGCAACGCAGTGAAGGAGACGTTTCCGACCCCATAAAGTATATATATTCTTGATCAGCATCACAAGACGAGTCGATCTAGCCATGTCCGTCTGTCCGTCTGTCCGTCTGTCCGTCTGTCCGTCCGTCTGTCCGTCTGTCCGTCTGTCCGTCTGTCCGTCTGTTTCTACGCAAACTAGTCTCTCAGTTTTTGAGCTATCAGGATGAAACTTTCCCAAAAGTCTTCTTTCTATTGCAGGTAGTATATATGTCGGAGCCGACCGGATCGGACAACTATATCTTATAGCTCCCATAAGAACAATCGGAAAAAAAAACTTTAAAAAATTCTAGCTTCGGTGTTTTTTGAAATATTACCTTCTACTTTTGGGGATGTTATTTTTTAAATATATCTGAATTTCGAATTAATTATTTAAAAAATCGGACTACTATATCATATAGCTGCCATAGGAACGATCGGAAAATTAATGGAAAAGTAATAGGAAATAAATTCTAGCTTCTTTGGTTCTTATGGTATTATCTTCTACTCTAGGATATGACTCTTTTTAAATATTTTCGAATTTCAATTTTATCAAAATCGGACGACTATATCATATAGCTGCCATAGGAACGATCGGAAAATTAATGGAAAAGTAATAGGAAATAAATTCTAGCTTCTTTGGTTCTTATGGTATTATCTTCTACTCTAGGATATGACTCTTTTTAAATATTTTCGAATTTCAATTTTATCAAAATCGGACGACTATATCATATAGCTGCCATAGGAACGATCGGAAAATTAATGAGAAATATTAGAAAATTGAACATTTTTGCGATTTGTTAATTAATAGGAATGATCTGCAAGGGTATATAAGCTTCGGCTGGCCGAAGCTAGCTCCCTTTCTTGTTTCATTATGTCATTGCTTCGGGGCTGGTCTATAATTTATTTAATGATGCTTTTAATGTGGCGCGATTGGAGTTTTTGTTTTAGTTGGTCGACAGTTATTTTTGTTGCCGCTCGCGCTGGCCGTAATAATGGTGTTTAGTGGGGCTTTGGGCTATTTGCATTACATTTTACCCACCATATGCATAATGAGTTTAATTGTCGGTCCGTTACTTAATTGAATACATTAATAACAAAAGAGCGCTGTGGACCTGTGGACCATGTGTGTGCTTATGTGGATTACAAGCCGAACGAACAACTCTTGACATTTAAGCCCCGTTTCGAAGTCAAATTAAAAGCAAATAAAAATCCAGAGACCAGGTTGTTAGCTTCACATACATGGCTAAGCTAGGAGTCAGCGATTTAGATAGCAATAAAATGCAGCTCACCTCACTGAACTGCACATGCCCCATTACCAATTCAGAAATCTTTAGGCCGCCGCTAGAGAGCTAGAGAGCAATGGGGAAGCATGTTGCAACAACCACGTCAACAACATTAGAGAAGTCACGAACTGCGGCAGGAACACGGTGCAGCAGCAACAGCAACAGCAACTGCAGCAAGAGCAGCAACAGCAATATCAAAGGCAACAGCAACATCGGCAGGAGCAGCAGCTAAATTGTAAACATAAACAAAACATTTATGACTATTTACAGTTGAGCCCAAGACTTGAACTCCAACTGCCGGGGTTTTTTTTTCAGGGTGGGGGACCTTGTACGTGAGCAATATCTCCTCGTGTTGCTATTGCTGCCGTAGATGTTGCTGATGAAGTTCAATGAGTTTTCGGGTGTGAAAGGGTCAATTGTGTAAATAATAACGAAAAACTGTGAACAGCAAACACAGCTACAACAGCAGCAGCAACTAGGCAACCGAAATCGAAAATGGAAAATAGAGAGAGGGAAAAATGCAAGGGACCCAGGGTCGAAAAAACTCATAAAAATATCACACGCATATAGGAAAAGCATTTGCGATAAGCATTGCACTATGCAAACAACCAGAGACAAACATAAACAGACACCGAGCACACACAAGCGGAGCACCTAGAATTCAGGTACAGTGGGTACTGGGTTAAGTGGATTTAAGATTAGGAAATAATTGTCTTCCCAAAGATTAAAATAACTACAAAATTAAATACCAAATACTAATTGACATATTTTTATAGAACAATAATAATATTAAAAAGTGGAACACTCCAAATTTAAATGATAAATTAAACTATTAAATATTTAACAAAATATTTTAGTATAAGAACTGTGTTATTAAATTTTAAAAAATATACATTTTTATAAAGATTTTTAAAGTACACGTCTTATAGCATATTAAATTAACTTCGAATATAAACACAGGAATAAAGAAACATTTATTTTCGAATTCCCAAACAAGCAATAAGCATTAATGTTTCATTCTTGAATAACACATTGGTGATATAATTACCCATTTCTAACCACTTAGCAAGCGATCACTGTTCACAATAAAGTTCAATTGCTATCAAAATTGGGAGTGGGGAGAACCGATATCAAGAGAGATGGGGGACATGGGGTTTTTATATTGGGCCAGACAGACTGCCGCTTTTTTATGATGCAATTAAATATTGTGTTTAATGCATTTGTAAATAATAATAAATAAAAAACATTTACTACAGCAATCACGATAATGCAGCCAGCCAGGGGCAATGGTAATAGTGTGGGGAGGTAGCGATAGCGATAACGCGATAATGAAGTTGAAGTTTCGAATGCCTCTCACATGGCCGCTTGCTTTATTTGCCTACAGGAAATAAAATTGCCATAAAAAACCTCTCTTCTGTCTCTGTCCAAGCGTGTCTCATAAATGCATATAAATTATGACAGTAAATACGAGTGGAGGAGCGTTAACTGAAGCTCATCTAACCTAAGCCCGGCCTTTTAGTCCAGCTGGCTGAGCATTTGACAGGGCAATTCGGTTTTATTGCAGCCGTCAATTGTCATTATAATCGGGCATTTAATGGCAACTTCAGTTCTGGCCCACATGTTTGCTCTTCGCTTTTTTCTCGATTTTTCCCAGATCAGAGAAAAAAGCTTCTGCTAATTGATTTTGAAGTGTGGGCTTCCATTTGACATGCATAATCTGCATTTAAGTGTCTTGAGCGCCAGCGTTGACAATTGACATGGGATTAGTTTCGGGGCGAACAATAAAAAATATAACGAATCTATTGAGCTCCTGTGAAATGCATGTTGTATCAATTTTGAGCTGGGAATTATGATTTTATATTGTTTTGGAATGCCATGTCAAGGGATTTAGTTTGCTTTTGCTCTGCTTTAATTTAGTTGGAGAAATTTCACAATAATCTGCATGCAAATTTGGTTGTGCAGGCGTCTTTGAAATGAAGTTAGATTGGCTTAGTTTAATTAAGGTAAAATATCTAGATTAAAGCTTAAAAGGGAAAACAAAAATAGTAATTTTAAAGTTTAATTTAATTTTTTTTATTGAAAGAGTTCTCGTTCTTGTATAAATTCACCAAAGGTTTCCGCACTTAAGAGGTATTTACATCTTTGACTGCCTTCAAGGGTTCCTGCGTTAGTCCTTTATCCTGCAGCGCAATCAATGCAGTTTCCCCTTGCGTTTTTTTATTGCATATTTGAAGTGTGTGCGTGGCAGTATGCAAATGCAGCAGAAGGATCAACAATAGAGCTGTCAAAGATGCAAATGTCGAGTGTGTGCGTTTTTCCCTCCGTTTTTTTAGTAGGGTTCTCAATCGATTCGCATCCGCAGGCTACTTTGGGACTCTTTGTTTTGGCTAGCAGAACAAAAAAGCCCCTCAGCATGCGTGTGAGCCTTGGGTTAATTGAACCCCTCGCCGAGTGGGCTCAATGTCACATAATACTCAATCAAATTAGGGCTCAAGTTGACTCAAGTAATTAAATCTAAAACCAACAATTGCCGCACTCGAAACCCAAGAAGAGGCACGCACACACACTTTGGGGTAAACTAGCCGTAAATAGCAACAATTTTCATATTAATTTTCATAATTTTCCAATGTTGACAGCAGAGCAAACACAAATACACGCTGGCAAACAAAGGGCAAGGAAAGGAACGGAAAGGAAAGGAGCAGGAAAAAAGTGTAAGGGATACTTGGCAGGACAATGGGGGGTAAAACACCGAACCTTGGTCACTTGTTGGTCAACGGCAACCTGCTGCGAGAATGTGAGAGTGTGTGTGTGTGGCCCAGTACATCTATGCGGCGACAATTTGCCTAATAACACTGGGCCAAAAAAAGGGGGCGAGGCAAAGTGTTTGCCTTGCTTCTCAAACCCCTGTCCTTCCCCCTGCCTTGCGGTTAGTTTGAACTGTTGACTTTGCGGTGAGCACTTTAAATTGATTAAGTTGAATTTGTCTAGCGGCGCCACCGCCTTGCGGTCTTAACCAACCCACCTGCGCCCCCATCTATCCATTCATCCATCCATCCATCCGTCCGTCTGTCCTACTAGGCGGGTACTTAATGCCACACAAACTGCAGCTGCTCTTTGATTAATTCATGTGTGGAGTGCGGAATAGAGGAAAAGAGTCTGCTCTGCTGCGACTCCGCAACAACTCGTGAGACATTAAAACACTTGAATGCCAAAAAACTTTGCAGCAATTTGTGTCGACTTGGCCAGAAGGAGTTTTCAGCCAGGGTTCGAGTTCGCGCTCGACTTTTGCTGAAGCCTCAAACTCTGACTTTGCACGGAGAGAAAATTAGTTTAAAAGAAATCATTATTTTTTAAGTTTTTTTTAATCTTTAAATGCCCTATTCCAAACAATAAGAAAAAAAAATTTTTTGTATGAGATATTCTAGATATTAAGTTAAATCCTTAACAGTTTATAATTATCTCCTCGCTAACGAAACAAAATGCATTGTATTTATTTTTCCTGTGCATCCTGTCACTTTGGCTGGCAAAAAACTTTCCAAGTCAAGCGTTGAAATTAAACTTTAGAGCGAAATTGTGAGTGGCCCAGACAACAACTAAAGTTACAAGTCACACAACAAAGGCAGTCAAGTGAGCGGACAAGAGGATCGAGAAAAAGGGGACTGACGATGAGTTGAGAATGTCATCCCAGCCGAAAATTAATTTTCCAACGCCCAGAAAGAACACCTCATCATCAACTTTGTCATTTTTGCGTATTTTGCTCCACTTAAAGTTTTTGCACCTTTAAGAGATGCTCCACCTTGTCGAGCAATTTTTGTGCAACGTCATTTCATGCTTGAACACGATGAACTGACCAGAAGTTGTAAACTGTGTGTTGCGACGACGAAGAAGATGGCCTGAAATGAAACTTTGGCTGGCCAAACAACTAACCACAAGATTCCTTTGCTCGACAGTCTGCCAAGTTCTCCCCCTACCTTCCATTACTTTACACCTCCCGATTTCGTAGCTCCACTTCCCTGGCAATCATATCAAAGTGTCAATGTACATGGTCAGGCTGCCTTGGACTTGCACTTTGCATTTGGTCAGCACGAAAACAAACTCAAACACGAGAGAAAAAGGTGGTCAAAAAGATGCAGAGTGTGTGATACTCTAGGAAATGAGGATGTTATGTTGATATTAAATGTTGGGATTTACTATTTACTTAGATCTAACAAACCCTAACTATATTTTATATTTTAACCCCTATATTTCTCTTTTCGCTTCAGTTGTATAAATACCGCACACTGGGGCTCAAAATGACATGCTGTTAATAACAATCAAGGTGAGTAAAATAAAAATATTCCTAGAAATTAAATTAAACTTAAAAGCTTTGCTTTAATGAATTCTCCTTGGCAATATAGGTTGCCATTTCTTTGCTTTATTCCTAATTCAATTTACCATTTTGCTGGTTCTTTTCTTAAGCGCTGTAATTAATGTCTTGTGGCCTCGACGTCAAGTGTTCACTGTACCGGGGGAGAGTACTTCTTTCAGCCGCTGTAGTTGCCTTTTGCTGAAGAGCCCACCATGTCTGGCATGGGCCTACAATCGACGACGCCTCCACGCACTCCAGTTGTGTCCCCTCCCGCCCACTATCCCTGCCCAGGGGCAACCCCCTCCTTCTGCCGACGCCCCTGTGTCACCCTCTGTCTCTGTCTTGTCCTGATTCCCGCGCCCCAGCTACAATTGCAATTTGTGCACTTTACGCTGCCAGTTTGAAAATTGTGCACACATTCATGGGGCGAAGTGGGAGGGGAAAGTAGTGGGCGGGGGGGTGTGGTGGGGGGAGTGGGGGAGGAGGTGCAAGTCTCGGGCTGAGTGAAATTTTTGTATCTTGGCGAGTTTGCGCGGAAAATGTTCCGAGCTGTCGTTGCACTTGAAAAATATTACGAACAATAAGTGTAATTAATTTGGAAAATTAAAAAAATATTTTTTAATAAGACGAGTATATTGTTTTATGAAATAATCAATTCTTTTAAAATTATTTAACTCTGAAAGGAATTTAAGTTAAAGTTCTTTAAAAACTTAACATTTTTTAACACATGCTCTGTTTTTTTTAATTTTTAAAAATAGCTTTTAAAAGTGGAAAAAAATAAATTTAAATATTTATTTTTTCTTAATTTTTGTACAATTTAATTTTCCTCTCTGCACTCCCGACCATATCTGCTAGTCATTGTCTACGTTGTCGTTTGAGATGCGAGCGTGCAGCTTTAGCTGCATGCCACATAGTTGCTTCTCACTTGAAAAAGTTGCTCATTTTTACACACTTTATTTTTGGTGCACTCCGGGCTTCAGTTCAGTTCAGTTCAGTTCGGAGTTTGGGTTTTTGGCTTCGTTCGTTCGCTGCCATGTTGTACTGGGTTCCCTTGTTGCACTTACAACTTGGAACATTGTTTCAGCACTTAAGCGACACACACAAACTGAGGCAAAGTAAGCGACCGGCGGCCAGGTGAAAGAGGGGCCAGAGGTGGAGGTGGAACTGATTGAGGGGGATCGGGATCCAAAAAAGTAGAGGGTAGGAGGGGGAGATGAGCAGGGCAACGGCATTCACTTTGCCCCCCACAGAGATGTGTGCGCTCAAATGTTTAAACATTGTGGCAGCCGCAGGAAAAAGTGGGAGGGGTTTTCCACAAAAGCAATCCCAAAAACTGAACCCAAACTGAACCAATCCACACAGATTCAAACAAACACACACACACAGATAGTGATGCTGCAGCCTTTTGTTTGAAGTTTGTCTTCGAATGGAAAACTTTTGTGAAAATTAATTACGAATTCGTGAGGTCAATCGTTTTTCGGTGATAATCGAGTGGGTGCCAAGCTCAGGAGGGAGTTTTCATGGGTATGGGGAGGTACAGGTTGTTTAAAAGCGCTTTACAGCAGGGGGCGGCTGTCCCCCGGCCCTTTTCGCCCCCTTCCCCGCCTCCTTTTTTGGATGGCATGCTGAGTGTGTGAGAGTTCCAGTGCATTTTTGGTATTCTCACTTCCTTCTTGGGTTTTCCAAAGCAGAGTGCCTCATCATCGGCAGCTAAGTCCCATATGGGTTTTTTTTCTTATAGAGGAATGATCTTCATACTGGAACATATCAAATGCTTACCAAAATAAAATGATACAGCTACATTTATTTTTATTTACATTTACATATTTAATTTTATTTAAATAATATAATATTTACATAATATTTTTCTTACCAATTCTTAAAGTTAAAACTATCGCCATATTTTACACCAAAAGCAGACAACAGTTTTAAAGTTCCTCCCTTCATTGTTCTTTGGCAGTTTGTTTTTTGCTGTTTGCTTATAATTTGGTAATTTGCAGTTTTGTCGTCGTCAACATGGTCGTGCCAAAGATTTTATAATTTTGTTCACATTTTCGGAAGTGGCTCCCACTGATGTTGCTGCGATGTTGCTGCTGTGCTGCAATTTCAGTTGCTGCTGCTGCTGTTGCATTTTGCATAATTTTCCATTTGGCTGTGGCTTGGGCTTGTTGCGTGTCTGCCCCGGCAAGTCGTGAGGCGTAATTAAAGAGTTTATTTTATGATTTGCGGTTCGTTGATGCTGCTGGTTGCTGCTGCTGCTGGTTGCTTCTTTTGCTCCTTGGTGGCTGTTCGGATGCTTGGATGCCTGGATGCCTGGGTGGCCCCAAAGTCGAAGTTGATTTTCCAGATGAGCGTCTTTTTTCCCAAAGGTGCCTCGCAGCTAGTCGGGCATGGATGGCATGCAGCTTTCGAAGGTTCGAAGGAGAGCCTTAGCCAACCAGCCAGCCAGCCAGCCAGCCAGATATTCTGCCAGCCTTTGACGTTGTCATCGCACTTGTCAGCGGCACGACATTGTCCCCGCAAATCCCCGACCCAAAACGTTTTCTCGTGTCCTTTGCCAGAGCCTCGAGCCATTCGATGATTCTGCGTCGTCGTCTTGTTTGCTTTGGCATATTGGGGAGACATCCTCGACAGGCACTAATTTTAACTAAATAACTTTGATGAGTTGGCTTTCGGGCCGCAAGGCTTAAACCTCTGCCGAGAACCTTTGCTCCCTGAGCTTAACCTTTGTTTAACCTTTCTTAAGCTGCAGTTTTTTTTTGTCCTTTCGTTTTGCTACCAACATATTTGTTTAGGTGCTCTCTCGATATGATGGGATGATGTCCTTTGGAAAGGATTGTATTTGTATATTTAATATATTCAACGCACATATGGCTACTGACTGGAAACCGAAAAACCCTTGCCTAAATGCTTTAATTAAATGAAATCTCATGGTTTTCGGATGGATCAAGGGGATGGGATTTTGGATGTGGAAAGGGGAAAGGGAGAATACAGGACATTGGCCAGTGGTCCTGTAACACGTTTCACAGTTGCACGCACAACTATGCGAGATGCTGGTCCTCTGGCGGGGCAACAACCATGGATCCGAGGGTTGTCAGAGGTCTGGCATTCAAAAATTGAAAAACCAAAATTTAAGCTGGGCCAGCTTTTTGAATTTATGACCAAATGGCACACACTCACATGGAATACGCATGGGAATGCATGTAAAAACTATAAAGGATCAGCCAATGTGCTCATATAGAGCTGAGTTTGGGGGGGTAGTTTTTCCTGCCACTTTTGGGGTGGCGATTGCGTAACACCACGTAATAGCATGAGCAGCGGACATATATTATATGTGTGGCGGGACAGAAGGGAGCACATATCTCCATGTAGGAATGGAAAATAAATTTGATTAAAAGTTGATAAATTACCTCTAATACATTACAGTTGGCACAAAGTCGGAATTTGTCAGGATATACAGAGTAGCTAAATTTATAGAATTAAACAGGACTTTAAGTGATTCCATTAGGTAGCAGAGTAATAATTACCAAGTATTTACGATTGAATAGCCGAACGAAAGCACAATCCATTCAAAGAATGAAAACAAACCTGTTCATTTCCAGGGGATTCAGAAGGATAATTTTCCTAACCACTTTCAAATTACTTTGCAGCTTCCTCCCACTGCAAATCCTCTTCGATTGCAGCATTTTCGATGCCCAGTTACCTAAGCAGGTATTTCCCATTGGCTCAATGAAGATACATACATGCCTTTCGAACGGACATTCTCTCTCTCCTTTAATCCCAAAACCAAAATCGGTTGCAGGAGGGACAGGACATGTCTCCTATCTCCCCATCTCCTGGCATAATGTGACACGTTTCGGGGTAGTTTTCTAATCCCAAAACGAAGCAAAGGCCAGGCCAGAACGGTCCAAGTCTAGAAGGGAATGTGCCACAACCTGACACTCTGGTGTCGGAGTTGTGAAATCAGGCAGCAAAAATTGCTGGGCTTACCTGAGCAGCAGCAGCAGTAGAATCATCTCATCATATACCTGGGATATGGCCCAAGTAGCAGCTGTAAGATGGACACACAAAAAGACAATTATTCATGTATGCATTGGACTATAATGCTCTGTGCTCTGTTCTTTGCTCGGCTCGGCTTGAAACTCACCTGAATGGCTTGAATGGCCATGCAGCATTTCACTTTGCATTATGTAAAACATTTTCACAGGCGACAAACATTTGCATGATTAACCATAATTGAAAATCCGAAAGAGAGACAGCGGTGGCGGTGGCAACAACTGCCTTCCTGGATCGTAAGTCCAATCAGTAGCGCTCCATTCAACTCAATTTATCTACGCATGCCAGGCAGCCAACCTTCGGATTTCAGATTTCAGTTTTCTGTTTTCGGATTTCTCAGCTCCCCTGTCAGTGAGTCATTTCAGCTCGGTTTAGTTCGGCTAACTTGAGTGGAGCCGCCTACGGTTGGGTGGAGATTTGCTTTTCCGACTTTCAGTGCTCTTTTCCCCATCAGTAGAGTAGACTACACCACGCCCTTTTGGCCGCCTTGGAATGCGATGATGCTGGACTTGTTCTGGGCTCCTATAAGATTGGCTTTCAAAGTTACAGCTAAAATGAGGCTTAAACATTGTTAGAAAGTTGGGAGCCCTATTATCAAGTAATAATTATAGCCTATGGTTAAAAGAAACTCGTTCATGATAAAGTCATTTTATAAATTTTTCAATAAATTTTGGTTATTAATAAAAATGGCTACCCATTTAATAGAAAATCCATTGTTATAAAACCATTTCCATTAATTGGCTTTAGTAGGTCAATTGGTAAATATTTTATTTCGAAATAAGAGTAACAATTATGTGAAAATTATTGATGTGAAATGTTGGGAGAAACCAGTTTAAAATGGAATTCCTGCTTTTGTTAGAACGACTGCTCTTCCGACCTGCGCTGCCCTGTAACTGTAATTTAAAACTCATTCA